GTCGAAGGATGATGATGCGGTCTGTGAGATTCACAAGTGTGAGATTCGGCACGAAGCCCTGGGAATGAATGGTGAATGTACGTATACGCAGGACTCCGAAGTGAGGGGGGAAGAAGAAGGATACACCGATCGTGGGAGGTAATGCCACCGCTATTTGATCCCATGATCATGCTGTCTGAGGGGAAGGAAGAAGAAGGTGAAGAAGGCGTGCCGATTTGGGTAAAAGTCGAACGACAGATACCTTGCTTGGTGAACGTGTCTTATTTTTTCTTGTTTGACACTCTCCACCCACAGAATTTAAATTTATTTACCCTCACGGCGGAAGGGACCCATTGGGATCAGATAGACCGCAGAGAATTCCTGTAGAAGAGAGGATCGAGCCCGGGAGGAGGTGATATCTTCTATTATAGAGGTTATTTTGTTATTTTCCTCCTCTTGTGGAAAATCAGAATCATCAACAGGTAGGTATCGAACGTCCTGCCGACGACGCCATCATCATGCAGAGAAGAAGAGGTGGTGTGCCGATTAGGGCAAGGCAATAATCAATCAATCGTGTACTACACTACGCCAAGCCTTCCCAACCCTAACGGAGGGAGAGTACGGTAGGAAGAACAGCCGTCCCCGCCCACCCAGCTGTACTAGGTATTTGATTTGACTTGGGTTAGTATTCTGAGCGACTGCCGCGTTGACGACACGGAGGGCGTCAACGCGGGGGTAGTAACCCTGGGTGGAGTCTCCGCGCTTTCGTAGCCGGAGGCCTCATTTCATCCCAAACTCTACATCGTTGACAACTATCCCGCGGCATAGTTGTCAACGATGTAGAGTTTGGGATGAAATAAGGCCTCCGGCTACGGCACGAGATCCACCCATACTTTGCCTTTCAGCTATTCATGCTGTGTCGGTGCCTGATGTCTGATATTTTGTCCCAAACTTCAAACTAGTAAACCGAGGGTCGGACTAGTAGTAGTCTATGTCCCGAACGCAAACGTTTCCGCGAAGCCTTCTTGCAATGGCGAATCCACTGCTTGGATATATCGCTGCTCCTGCTCCCTCCGATCCGGATCTCGCGGACGCTTAGCGGGTGAGCCCCCCCCGTGTATCATGGAGCCTACGTATCGCTGGGCTACCCTTCTCGTTTTCCACCCCACTAACTCCATAAGGGCTTCCACTGCCGTCCCCGCGAGGGACTGGCTGACGGCTCCTCCTACCCTAAAGGAGTGCATAGTATACAGGCCGTGGTGGTCGTTCAACCGGCCGTCCCGCATATGACACTGCAGAGCCGCGGTCATGCGAGCGGCGGTCCACTGGGATGTCCCCCTCGAGCCATCTCCCTGGATGTCGGGAAACAAGTACCCCTCACGCATATTCCAACCCACGGACTTCGCGACGATGAAAAATTCTTGTACCGCCCGGACCGGACACAGTTCGTTACACTTCTTATCCCTTTTAGTAACGACTGCGTGTGACGAGCTGCGTAGCGTCTTGCCAAAGTGAAAGTTGAAAATCATCCCTTGGCCTTCGGGGAGGCGCAACACCTGTGCTGCCAATGCGCATGCCAAATCGAATCCACGCTGCATCGTGTGGAAGGCGACTACAAACGCCGCAACGTCTCTACTACGAGCCACTCGCTCCCCCACGGTTTGTAGCTGGTCTGCTGTGTTACGCATGTGCCGTACGAGCCTCAGAAGTAGCGGGGCCAACATGAGCCTAGCTTGTTTGACGGTAACTCCCGCCCGGCGCTGCTCGATCTGGGCGTACGAGAGGTACCGACGAACGGCCGCGCTATCGGCTGCATTACCTCTCTTCTCCCGCTCGTCCCACGGATCAGACTTTCCCAATATCTCGACCATGGCTCTCTTGAGTTTCGTGACGAATCCTTTGTCCAATGTTTGGGCCGCGTATCTCTTCGCACACGTACTTCCCGCGCTACAGGAGTCTAACGAATTTGACCCGATAGCGACACAATCGACTGCGTGAACCACCTTCGTGCCGTTACCGTGAGAATCCAACCAACACAACCAGTCATGTACGTCTGCGTCGGTGGCGCTCTCCCACCCTCGGCTCCCTGCTGTGTGCGCTCTCAAAAACGCGTCGAACTTATCCGCGACGGCGGATTTCCGGCGTTGCCCGGCTGTATTCGCGGACGCGACCTGGACGGCTTCTTTCCGTGCCGCCAGCCGATCGGCGTCGATGACCACGGTTGCCCCGGGAACACGCGGCTCTAAAAGCCCCCGAAACGGCTGTACCCCGCAATGCTGACAAAAGTTGAATGTCGCTTCGTTTTGTGCCCCACACGCATTACACAACACTTGTGTTACCCGGTCCGGAGCGCGCGTGGCCCCGGGAGGGATGCGCTCTAGCGCCCCCTGGTCATAGTGCTGATGACGTACGGACGAAGGAACGATACCAAGGAAGCACCACCTGTCAACTCATACGGTATCGTTTCATAAATGACGAAAATCCAATTCTACCGCGCGCATTCCGTGTCGAACGTAAACATATTCGCGAAGACCGTCCTGATGGTGGGGATATCCAAACCTCCCCCGTCTCGGCACCACAAGCGATTTGACAGTAGCTCGCCCCACCCGCGGTAGCCAATAATCGTGTACATCCGGTATCACGATTACGGCGTGGGCCCGGCATTCGGCGAGATGCTGGATAACGTGACCCACCATGACCGGAGGTGGAAAGCAGTACCCAAACGCCGGCGTGCCCAACCCCGGTGTGACCGCCGCCACATCTTGACGTAAAACATCTACACCCGCCGTTCCTTCGCACGAGTACCGCGAGAAAAATGGTTGTCGGCACCTTGCTCCTGTGCTACGCTCCACCTTATACTGGGCATTCTCGGAGGACGCCATGAGGTCTACCGTGAATTCGCCAAAAAACTGGCGCAACCTCTCAAACGCTGTCGGCCGGAGGCAGACGATCTCTTGCCTCCCCGGCCGCGTAATGCTATCAGCTACTGCGTTCTCTGCTGATGGCACCCACCTCAGGGTGGGCCAGAAACCGTGTGCGACTTACTTGCAACTCGAAGAGACTAACCAGCATCGCATGCGTCGTGTGCCGGTGCCGAAGCCGGCGTTGGCTCCGATGCGGTCGATCCCCCTCCCCGCGCGGGTGCCTTGCCTGACGAAGGCGCGGCTGGTAGCACAAGAAGACATCCTGCCGTCTCCTTCACATGTTCACGCAACAGATCGATGATCTCTCCCATGAACGCCCGAGCCCCGATCACCTGCTTAGCCGCCAGCGAGCCCGTCGCCCCTTTCTCCTGAGCTTCCGCGCTGCGAAAAATGTCCGTCACCTCCGTGGATGTAGCGACTCCCAGTGCGGTTACCAGAGGAAGGGCCATGGCGAACATGCCGACGCGGTCCATGGTCTCGATAGAGGCACCACCGTGTTGGCACACTCGCGAGAGGGCAAGAGTCGGCAACGAGCCGAGCGTGGCGCTGCTGTCGTAGCAAACGAACCCTTCACCGCTTTCCCTGAGTCCACGACCGTGGCCGCGGCCAGCTGAGCTTCGGTCAGCTGCATGGTAGATAGTATGCTGTTCTTCCTACCGTACTTCCTCGTTAGGGTTGGGAAGGCTTGTCACGAGTGGGTGCTCTCTCCAAGCTTCTCTGCAGTCAGTAAAATAATGTCGAAATCATGGAACCGCGAAGGGGTTCTGCAGATGAGAACAGACTGACTGCAGAGAAGCTTGGAGAGAGCACCCACTCGTGACAAGCCTTCCCAACCCTAACGGAGGGAGAGTACGGTAGGAAGAACAGCCGTCCCCGCCCACCCAGCTGTACTAGGTATTTGATTTGACTTGGGTTAGTATTCTGAGCGACTGCCGCGTTGACGACACGACAGGAGGGCGTCAACGCGGGGGTAGTAACCCTGGGTGGAGTCTCCGCGCTTTCGTAGCCGGAGGCCTCATTTCATCCCAAACTCTACATCGTTGACAACTATCTTTCTGGTGTCCATTTTTTATTTTCTTTATTTTTAGAAAGGTGTACCCCCCCACCCTACGGGGGGCAGTTGGCTTATGACCACGGAAGGCGTCCGCGTCAGTTGGACCAGTACGGACATTAGAAGTGGAGACCGGAAAAGACAACAACAAAGCAACAACAACGTCTATCTACCTGCCCATGACACATGCTGCCAACTGATGCGGCAACACCTGGGCACAACACGGACACAGGGAGTACTCCCCCTGCCCATACACCGTCAAAGTTGCTTACAAACTAGAACAGCCTCTCATTCCTCCTCTCATTCATGTCAAATACTTGTACAAAAAATGATGTAGCATACATGCATGAAATGATCGACCCTCCCTGTCTTTACTTGTTGTGCTCCACGCTGCCTACTAATGGGAGAGGTAGCCATACCCTCTGCCTACACACGGACGAGATAGGTAACCATACCCACTGCATTTAACACACACCCACATGTCGGTGATGAAACCTCAACCATACGCATCTATCGGCGACCACGTCGTCAGGAGGCAATGATGGGAGAATGTTCTCCCGTGCCATTTGCACATCATCTAACGACACGAAATGACACCAAACGGTAAGAAAATGGTGAGACCACTCCTCCCGTGTGTCCGCACATACTCCGAAATGTGTCCGCACACATGCATACCCGGAACATACATACGCGTACCACACTGAAAACATGTTTGAAAATTGAGGGAGATTGCATGCCCTACGACTAAAAGGAAGGGTGTGCCACACATAACACGCCGGACTACCCAACAGTACCTAACACATTTATTTATTTCTTCTGCACCTTCCCAACATAACATATATATATGAGACACACAAGACAGCTACCAAACAAACTGTTTTGTTGAGCCTGTTCGGCGCCGCTGTTCGGCGCCCGGAACTCTGCCCTTTACCCACAGGGGAGTAGATGTCCCTATATTATATGCTGTCTGGGAAATCAATCGTAGACATACAGACAGGTACTTCTGACGCTCGCTATGAATTCATTGCTAATAATCTGTCTCTGACTATATGATGATAGAGATGGATTCGTTGTGTCAGATTAAGAAAAAAAAAAAAAGACAACAACAACAACAAACAGTCACCAACACAACCACCAACAACCAATAATTAATAATGCCGAATCGGCATTTAATTTCGGTTGTTGTTGGTTGTGTTGGATCGGCATTTAATTTCGGTTGTTGGTTGTGTTGGTATGCCGAAATTCCCCGCTCAGAACCCGCTCAGAGCCGTATCTTGGTCTCCATCTGTCTGTAAATTTATTTTCCATTGTGTGAACAGCAAGCAGTGAACATGAATGATAATGGTTCTGGCTGTCGGCTGGTCTGTCTCGTGGTAGCGACATCTGACATCGGTCGGTCGGTCGGTCGGTCGGATGCAAAAAACAACAAGTTATTATGCATAGTCTTTCTTTGTTTGTATTTATGTTTAAGGAATAATAAAAACATACACAGAAAGACTACCCATTCGGGATATACCCTATTTATGTTTAATTAAGAAATAATATAAACACAAACAGAAAGACTACCCATTCGAGATATACCCACAGTCGAACGGGATGTGGTGGAGTCTTTTCAGTGAGTGGAGGGAAACCGGCTGGGTACTGGACTTATTTCGAGTCTTTTTTTAAGTCTATACACTGATGATTTATACCAGTGATGCCAGCTGGTGCTAAGTACAAAAACATCTGTCTGTATAGGTAACTTACTAATGCATAGTCTATGCATAGGAGGCTGTTCACCAAAATGCGGCGTAATCGCCTTGAACTACCTGACACAAGATACCAGACACCCTCAACCGATTTTCAAAGCTCGACTACTACTCCACGACGAAGAGGATGACAATTCAATGTCGAAGTGATAGATATGCTTTCGGAACGATCTCGACGGTCCCAATGCCGCCGTCTTCGGCACCGCCACTCTTTCGACTGCGGAATAATCGACCTTTGAAAATCGGTCCTGGGGGTGTGGTATATTGTGTCACCTGTCACTTACCAATATATATGTTTGATTGATAGTCAAATGGACTTTGTAGAGAGGGGCAAGAGGGGGGTGTGGTTCTGCCGCCTCGATGTCTCGGGTGGTATCCCCCATCTGATGAGGCTTGTTTGTGCGGCTAGATTTGGCCCCTTCGTCAACACCGAACAAAACAGCAACGGCGCCACGCCTGTGACCCTTAGCGACACACACCAGGGAGCCCACGTTTTACCTTCGCTTTTCTTACAGGGCGTCAGCCTAGACTTCATCTTCCTCTCGGTTCAATCCTTCTTCATTCATTCTACCATCACGGCATCCAGGACATCGTAGTTGCGTCACGGTCAAGAAAGTTTGGTCGTCATCTACACATCTCCATCCGATCTCCAATCGCCGTTTCAGAAAGAAAGGCGAGACGGGAATGAAGAGCATCACCGTCCTCGTCGCATTCCTCCTGGGACTGGTGCTGATGTACGCCAAATCTCTGGAACTCAGCGATTTCACCGTCTTGGACGGCAAGGGAAATGCGTATCCCTTGGCAAACCTCAGACATGTTCCGGTGAGTTGTGAACGGCACTCCTCGCTGGTGTAGACCAGAAGACGGATCATCCTACAGCAGCAGCAGGTATAGAGTAGTCTATGCATACTTCGCCTGTGTCCGCTTGTTCAACCAAAAGCCTGATAAACTCTTTGACTTGCGTTGCGCCCATCGATGCTGCTGGACAGAATCCGACCCAACAATGTGTGTGTGACTTGAGCGCATGCATACCACGCGTGCAGCGCGTTGGTTCGTCGGTTGCTGAGCCAAGCCGCTCGTCGAGCCACTCTGTCATCCTGCTACTCTATTTATTTCTGTGGTCTAGACCTGGATGTAATCGTGCACCGTAACAACAGAAGTAGTTCGTAGACTGGTATGCATACAACATAAATTTACTCCAGCAGAACTTATTCCCTCGATCGCTGCTGCTGCTGCAAATGGCCGTGACTACGCGTTTAGGGTCGGCATGCAGGTACAGCCAGTAGATGTAGTCGCTTGCTTGCTGTCGCCGTCGTTGAATGTCTCCAATGCTTCGTGTTGATCTGTTGACGTCAGCCCTCTCTGCGGCGATACATTTTGCCAAAGGCAGAAACGAACCCTTGTGTTCGGGCACACTTGAAAAACCAGGCATGCATTTGAAATGACTTACATTTAGCAGGCATGAGGAGTAACGCGTGCTACTGCAGGGTGACATCTTCCGTATGAACTATTATTATATTTAGAAGTACATCCTCTGCCACAGGTTGGGCCTCATCGTCGCATGTAACGGCCACCGGCGATGCTGCCAGGAGTTGAATGTTTGCGATCTATCATGTCGCTTGCGGGCCTGGCCTACGGGGTAGTTTCTGCTCCAATGTTTTCTGTCTGTGGGTGCCTACTGCTGTTGTACACGCAACACTGCCCCCCACCCGCCCACCCGGAAATAGTGATGCCAACAGCGATGGGTTGTTCTGAAGCTAGCTACGCTTTGCTCCCAAACCTTCCTCGACGACACATCGGCGGGTTGCATGCCAGTTTGTTTGAGCGTACCTTTTTAGGGTAAGTTAGCCTGTGACCACGGGAGGAATCGACAGCGTCAAGTGTTGGATCAGTACTGACATATGAAGGTACTGGGTAGAGAGAGATCAGAACGGTGAAGACAACAACAACAACAACAACAACAACAACAACAACAACAACAACAACAATGGTGGTCAAACGAATAAATATATTTCACATGAGAAGAGGTACCATTTACTGCGTGTTTTTCATTTTCTGTCACTGTCTCGGAACAAGGCCATGGGTGGTGTTGGATTGATTGTCGTCAAGATGTCGAAGTGTGCATTCTTTGTAGGCAGGTTGGCTCGAGTTTCCCCGGGACCGCCGTTCGTCTGTAGTGGGCAGAAGAATATCCCTACAGTAAATAAATCACGTATAGTTCAGCAACATGCAGCATTCCATGATTACCAGCACTCGGTGCTCCGCGCCTCCCAAAACGGCAGCGGCAGCGTCAGAGCGAGAGCGGCGACGTGTTCGCCGGTCACCATTTTCTGGCTGCCAAGTAGGCGGACCTCTCAAATCTTCCCGCAGTTTCGGGAATTCTGCATAGTTTGTGTAACCGCAGGGAGCATCGGACGCACACAAGACACGTAGCGTTGTAGCAAGGACATACGTCGCCATGCACATGCATGGTGGGCTGGCTCCCAGAGCGACGACTTGGCAACTACCAGAATACTGTAACGACTCTATTTCATGTGAAGACATGAAAACAACAACACCAACAACAACAACAACTCTCCAGGTTGAACGGCAAGTTGCGAGTGTGACGCACGGGTTTTGGATTGAGTTAAGTTCTCTCATCATCTTGACGACGGACGAACAGAAACACGGTGCCCTAATAGTCAGCGCCTCAGCACCAGCAGCAATAGCAGCAGCGGCGGCCGCATGGCCAAAAATATGTTGTTGCTGCCGCCCCTTGATCTGTCGGTCTCTCCCTCCTCCCTCCCCACCTGCTGGTGTTTGTTACATGGTTGATCTGGCTATAATGCTATGGTTGTCTGATGCACCCGCCCTTACTTCGTTCCGACTCAATTAAGAAGTATTTTCCTAGCCGCAGCGGGAAAGAAAGGGAGCGGGGCACGCTTTTCGAGAATAGCTTGCCCATGGCCAGGCACAAAATGGCAGCTGTGTGGGCTCTTGTGCTGTGTGGCACACACACCCAATTTTTTCGGGGAATTAATTCCGCTGGGAGGGGTGTGCACGGCTTGCGGCACACAAGTTTGAGCTTCATGTTTGGTGTTGTCCGCGAGCGAACGAGGGCGTGATGTAGGATGTAGGGTGTTTGGGCCACGCGCAAAACAATTCCGCACACTTGTCCGAATGAGAGCTGCATTTCGAAGGTGTTACAGAGGCTTCGACGACCTCGATACTTCGAAAAGCCCGAAAAGCTGTAGTAGTAGGTGGTCCCACACATTTAAGTACGTTTTGTTTCGACAACGACCAGCAGCAGCAGCGGGGTGACATCTCCCAAGCTCAACAGCTCACACAGCTGACGTGTTTTTGACTCGAACAGCCAAGCGAACCTCGACGAACCAAAAAAAAAAATTACAAATCTGGAAAAAGTGTGTCTATATAATAGGAAAAATAAAGAAAAACGGCTGTTTGACAACGCACATCGCACTTGCGCGCGCTAGGCCGTGTATTCGCGACGTTCCGAGTGACAAAACAAAATAATCAAGACCGAGCTCTGACTGATCGAAGACCAAAGCCTTCAAGTCGGAAGAAAAGCCCGGACTTTTATTCCATGTAATGCCGGACTTTTATACCATGGAATGCCCGGAGTTTTATTCTAAATTTATATGCGACGGTTGTCTCCAGGTTCGCGTGTGAGCAAGTTCCCTTTGGGATGTGTGGTGTGGATACACACCAGTTCAACCTCTGGTGGAGAGGCTGACGTGACGTACGTATTGTTGTGTTGTGAGTCAAGGGGGGGAGCAACCTTGTGTTGAAGCAAGGTTCAGCTTCCATCCTACACTGACTCTATCTGTGGCAACACCCCGAAGGTAGATCTCCGACAGGTCATCTGACGTCACAATCTACGACAGTCTGAGGTGGCATTCACATTTATTGTATTTTCTATTTCCTAAAAGTATGGTACTTATGTCATTGGTAGGCCGAAGATCTTTGGATATTTTTGATGTTCGAACCTCGTTACTAATATCACGGGACGTTTGTAACACGATTGTTGTAGGCCGCCGCCGAAGGTTGATACCACAAGTAATCGACGTGGAGGGAGACGCCAAGGAGGCGTATGTAACGCCCAGAAAGGATAGATAACGCACGGCTTCCGTGTGGGCCACTTCTTCGCTGCTCGGGTGCCTTGCATCTCATGGACTGCTGCGCGATATCGTGAAACATTTTGTGTCGTGCTTCTAATGCATATCCCCTACAACAAATGAACGCGGAAGAAGTTTGAGCAGCCAAGTTTTACTTCTACACAACAGTTTTTGTACTTGCACGCAACAGCAGTTCAAGCACTCCCCGAAACTGCGTCAGCTGCTTCGGAATGTTGTCCCTTCTGCCAAGGCTGTTTTTGCGCGCCACCTCTCAGCAGCAGCTGGGATGTCTCACAGCTGATGGGTTGGAAAAATTGTCTGGTCATTTTCCGGCCAAGAGAGAGAGCGGGTTTTCCAGCGGCTTGATTCACTCCAAGAGCCTAGATACCCACGGACGCCCACTTTCTTTTCGTTTGAAACGACCCTTACCGAACTTGACAGCAGTTTTCTTGCAGACGGCACGACTTAACGCCTACCGTATGCATATGCATACGGACAACGAAGACGTGCTCGAATAGTTTACATTTTTTATGTATCTTGCATACGTACGGTGAGATCGAGCCCCCGGCGGCTCTCCGGGGGCCGTCTCTTCTCGCCCGCGGCGAAAATCAAGCGTGGCTGGCTGTGTATGTGTACGTGCGTAACTCTTTCTACAGCAAAAATTGTCTTCTGTAGTAGCAGAAAATGTCTATAGAAGAAATAGGAATAGTGTCTGCCTCTAGTAACACTTCTAGTTACCGCACACGCCTGTAGTTTGTAGCTGCTACATATCGGTGCTGTAGCTTCATTCTCGCCCCCTCACATCGAGAGAACGCGCAAAAAACATCTAGACGTGTCTGTCGCCTTTGCTGACTGACTCACGAGATCTCCTTCCTTTCCCTTGCACGCCAATGAACGCACGAACGCACGCACGCACGAACCAGGCGGTGCTGATCGTGAACGTCGCTAGCCACTGCGGGTACACGGATAGAGACTACCGCGAACTGCAGGCGCTTCGGGCTAAGCACGACGAGGTGATTCCGTGCTTCGGGTAGCGGGGTTCGTTTGCGGGGGGAGTTGGGGGGCTGGGATGTTATAGTCGTTTTTCGTCTGTGTAATATGTTAATCGTCGAGCTGCACGCCTTGTGCACTTGTCCGCCTTGTGCACCTCGGGACTCTTTGTGGCCTTCGGGGCTCATTGCAAATGGGGCAACTAGCTTGCATGGAGTAGTCGCTGTTGTCACGGTGGGAATATTTGAATATTGAATATTTTGTACCGTGCCGCTCTTTATGGAGGGGGCAACGGGTAGTGTGCTGCTAGACCACGGTGGGTGATGGTGCGCTGGTTGATCGCTCTCTGACTGACAGAGGCCGATTTTTGTTTTGCATTGCTTGGAATTTTGGAGATGAAACTCTTGGTTGGTTTCTGTACGAAATGGCTACTGTCTGCACGTGTCGGACTCAAGACGGGGTGTTCATGTCACGACTCGGTTTTCAGTGGCGCGGGGGCGAGGAATCAAACCTCTGGTTCGTCTTGCTCCTCCTCCCTCCTCTCCTCCTCCTCCTCCTCCTCCTCCTTCCCCCCCCCCCCTTGTGCATGACACCCAACGTTGTCGCTCTCTGTCCCCTTGCCCCTTTTGCCAGGACCAACTGGCGATCGTGGCCTTCCCGTGCAACCAGTTCGGCGCGCAGGAGCCCGGCACCTGGGAGGAGATCGCCAGCCTCGCGGACCGAAAGTTCGGGGTCACGTTCCCCATCATGAGCAAGGTGAGCGAGATAGGCAGGAAGGTAGCAGTGGTGACGGGGAGCAGGTAACGAAAAGAGCCACCAATGGACGGGGCACACGGCAGGTGGCTGGTTGTTTCGGCGTGAACCGGTTGTGGGCAGGGCTGGATAAGAAAAAAGTTAAACCACAGGGGACAACGGAGATGTATCGCTGGCTCAGGGAATCGTAGAAGCACAGGGTGTATCCGCCAAACGCTATGTATGATTTTTTTTTCCCAATCGATGCCGGGCTCTTTGCATGATTTTTTTTCCCAATCGATGCCGGGCTGTTTGTGTGATTTATCTTTCCCAATCGATGCCGGACTCTTTACCTGTGGACGTAGAGATGAATTCGTGGTGTTGTTTTTGTAGACGACATTTTGTAAAAGTGGGAGCTATGTAGCGTGCGTGCCGCGGGGGGTGCTAGGCGATGGGACAGGGTACACACCGCGGTGCGTGAGGTGTGTTGGTTTGGCGTGGCGTGCGGTGGGGCTGGATGCAGAGAGAGCGTCTGGCGTGGCCTGGCCTTGTGTTGTTTGTTCTGCCCACCACACGACGACATGGTCGGGTGGGTTGCATCGGGGGTAAGGTGGCGTATATCATGTCGTCATGGAAAGAGGTGTGGTGAGAGCGTGGCAGCGGAAGGTGTTGGTGAGGTTGCAGGCGCACATGGCAAGTTGTTTTGGAAAGATGGTGAGCTCGGCACTGCTAAAGGGCAACGTTGCGTTTCACCACACCGGACGGAACACGGAAGCTAGCGGTTCAGTGTACGTTGTAGCCGTGGCGGCCCTTTCAACAAGCGCCAGCCCCACTCGCGACTGCTTGCCCGTGATGGATGCCATGCCCCCTGCGTTCTCTCAAGCAGGGGCCATGTTTATGCCAGTGTGTTGTCAATCCTTACGCTTGTGCTTTGTGGACGTTTCTTCTCCAAGGACTGACCCCCCCCCCCCTTCCCTCTCCCTTGTTGTTTCTCTGGTGACGACGTTCTCCGCTTTTTACTGGAATATCGACGACGTCTACGGCCGACTAGATCGACGTGAACGGGCTTCACTCCTCCCCGATGTTCGCGTGGCTCAAGGCCGCCTCGGGCAACCCCCACGACATCCCATGGAACTTCACCAAGTTCCTCGTCCTGTGCGACTCGACCGTCAAGCGATTCTCGCACGAGGTGGGTGGATGACTTGCTTTTGCCGTAAATATACTCCTTGTTCGATCGTTTGTTGTAGCTGCTAGCTGCGGCTGTACACCGCCATCCCGCCCGCCTCGCTCCTCCCCACCACGCTTGGAACCAACAAGTGTGGTTCGAACCAACAAGTGTGGTTCGAACCAACAAGTGTGGTTCGGAAGCCGTAGTCTCCCGTCAATTGGGCTGTGTTCTGACCTCAAGGGAGTGACTGAGTGACTACTTTCGTAGATTTCGTGTTGCCACCGATGGGGTCTGTCAGGGGGCATGGAACAGGCGATCCGATGCGATCGATCGCGAGCGTGCTTTGTCCTCTCTCACTGCCGCTGCATCCGTTAGCTTACCGTGCCGTAAACGCGCATCACATAAGTGGTGATATGTGTACCCGCGGTGCAGTGAGTAGGGTACGCAAGCCTCCCCGGCGGGGATTGGTCGTGATGAACGTGTTCGCGTGCGGGCACTACGGTATGGTACAGAATGACCCCGATATCATGGCGCTTCACCCCCTCCAACCCCATTTCCCGCCCCACGCAAGGATGAGCCTATCCTCACCCTCCCTCCTTCGCAGGGTTTTCGGCAGCATGCATGCGTGTTTTGACGTGGTGTTGCAATTTCACGATTTTTCCCTCTTGTGCCGTCAGGTCAACCCGATGCAAATGGACGACATGATCACCAACGCTCAGAGCTTCTGCGGCGCTGGTTACGACGAGACGGGCGGCGGCACCGGGGAACTGTAACTGCTATGACGCTATCCCCGGAGAAAACCGGAACACGACGACAACAGCCCGGCGGAATCACCCACCGGACGCCGCGTCAAGACATCTATCTGTTGCCGTAGCCCCCCGTTTATTTTATTCTCTGTATATGGCAACAATCCGCACCCTCCGTAGACTAGAGCGAGGGGTGAAGAGACTTCCGCGGGTGTTGGCGATGCCGTGTGAGTCGGACTCACGAACAAGAAGCTAACCAGTGGCTCTGGGTTGTCATCTGCGCCTACGGTCTGAAGCCAAGCTCTTCTCCGCTGATTTTTTTGTAAAAATACTGGAAATCCTTTTCTTTATTTTTTGTCGTGTGCCCTCTCAACGTGATTCACCCTTGTTGAATTGGTGACACGTGGTTTTTGTGTGTGGATGATGGTGTCGTGTTGTTTGCAAGGTAAGATAAATAAGTTTTTTTCGTCTGCTGTTTGATTGAAGTTGGGGTCTAGGTTCCTCCAACTCTGTAGCACTTCGATATATGATGTTTTGTGTGTTTTCGTTTGGTATCCTGGGGTCTTGCCCCACTTGTCTTTTCGTGTTGGAATCCCAGCATGTCCAGCGTTTTTGAATACAGTTCCTTGTTCATATGATTGGCCTTCCGACTACCTACGAGTATTTTTTTGTGTACGCTGTGTATGATATGTACCAGTACAACCGCCCGAACTTCCTTGCGGTCTACGAGACACCCCCTGTGGTGACGGTATTTTGGGAAGGCTTCTGCGGGGGTAATAAGTGCCAGGAGCGCGTCAGCAGCGTTACACCGCAGACGGCAACACTTTTAGCGTTACCGGTATGTACGTAAGCACGGAGGCAGTCTTCGTGCTGCTTTGAACTTGGCGGAACCGCAAGCACGGGACACGTCGTTTTTTTTCTAGGTACGTTACTTAGACCACCACGCGTTGCCTTGTCGTGTTTTTCTTACCACAGGTGACGGCTTGCTTTGCTAGAACGACGTCTTGTGCGTGACTGTCCGCTTTGGACTGTAGGGTGTAGTAGCAACTGCATTTTTTTGCTTCTTGTCTTGAAGGGGATGAGGACGGGGCGGGTTAAGGTGCGTTCTCGCTCTACGCGACACGAGCACCCTCCCTGCTCCCTAAGCGATTTTCCCTCACGCCTCTGAAATCATGCGTCGCTAGGGACTTGGTCCACAAGCATCTTCTTGTTTCAAACATTTTCCTCCTTACACAATAATTGTTGAACCACGTATCGACGCGCCGCCCGTAGTCAGCCTCCCATACCTACGCAACGGTCACGCCTTCTTGGGGTGGATACTTATAGCGTTATCACCCCCGTGTATGTGGTTGGTCTGAAGCTGCAAGTTTCAGTCTCTCCGACGGAAACTTAATGGTTGTCATTCCGATACCCCCACCCTTGCTCGGCCGGCTTCTCTATCACACCACACCGCAAATTCCAATCCGAATACAGAGGAGTGGTTTCAGCACGACCCGATTCGGTGATATGCCAGAATGCTCTTGTTGCTGTGATCTGTTATTAGAAACCGAACCGACGGGCCGGGCGGGATGATGCGAGGCAGAAAGCGAGCGTTTGGCGTCAAAAATGATGGTGCTTCTCAGTAGTTTCGCTGTGGACGTCGGCACCAAGCAACTTTCCTTGTGTGTTTGGAGCGAAGAAAATAATCAGGACGATGACTGTAGTACTTACACTGGTTGTTTGGGATATTTCCCGAGGCTGTGGCATCGATATATAAATGTCTGTAGATCTGCACACGACTCTTCTCGGCCTCGTGCTAACAAAACTTGCACGTCCGCAAGTTCATTGGGGCCTCCATGGTTTGTTACGCACGCCACGCATGACGCTACTGCTGTACGAATAGACACAAAAGAGCAAAAAACGAGAACGAACGAACGCGTTGTACTTACAAGCGCAAGCAAGGTTCACGAGGCGGCGCGCTTGATGCGCATCTAGGCGCTCCTCCTGCATACTAAACGCCGCCACACAGCATCTTCTACTTCGACTCCTAACGAACAGAAAGAAAAACGATGCGTGTGAGGAACAGGCTCCGCCACTGGCAACACCACAGCAACATTTCCGCGTGAAGGGGAAAAGAAAAAAAACGCGTTCATGGGTCCGGCCAAACTTCGGGAGGGCGTCCCCATCAACACGTTTCGTTGTCCCGAGAAGGGGACCTACTGTACCTTTTCATACTTGCAACAGATGGCGCCAACCCTCCTTAAGACAACAGTAATAAACGCTTGTACCAAGAGCGTCGACACACCAAAACAAACTATTCTCCGAAAACAACTTCCAGAAAGCTTATGGTCCTTAACCTGGTCTGTTCCCTTACAGTTTTTCCATCTTCATTACGCCAACTTTCTTTTCCTTCACACCCCTTCCGCCGAAAATTAACTCGGTCAACAAGGGACGTGAAGGACTAAATACTTCGAGGGAGAGACAAAAGATGCCTTTGGCAGTCAAGCACGCACATTGCTTCGACCCACCAAACGTAGAACGCTCCAGCACGCGCAGGCTCGACCGAGAGGGCGAGGGAGGGCGTGACGAGAAAACCCGCACCTTAGCAAGCAGCGCGACGATCCACGGCTACCCACTCCCGCATTCCTTTTCAAAAGCAACTTACAGACAGTTGGTGTCTTGTACCTCCAGTGCGCTCTCTTCGTGTACCATCCTTCTATCCCCTTAGCCGCGTCTCCAACGTAGAGTACTCCGTAGCGCTCCCTGCAACCACCTGTTGCTCGCTCGATCGCTGGAACATGGACTGCAAGTCCCTCGGGGGAGGCACGGTAGAAGCCACCGCGCTCGAGCTGGCACCGCCGCCCACCTCCCCGCCGCCCCCCCACCCCGCGCTCTGTTCTGCCTGGCGCTCTAGCCGCCTCGTTAGGGCTGTCCACCGTCGACGTGTCAAAACAGCAGAGGTTTTCGTTCACAAGGATTGGCATCGGGGTTATGGGGTAAGGCACAAACATTTATTGCGTGCGCGGTAGCGGGGTGTATTGGTGGATGGATGGACCGATCGGAGTGTGTGTGTGGGGGGTACGAAGGTGAGAAAAAGCCAAGGGTCTGGTGGTTGTGCGCTGGGCGGGGATCATGCATTAGGCATTAGGCAAGGAAGCGTCCCAAAGCAAAATTAAACTCCACAGCAGACGTTCGTAAGGTCCAGACAAACTACTGTACAAGGTCTTGTAGAACTTCACAGACTTGACTGGTTTGCGCGCGACACACGCTCTTCGAAGAGAGTCCGCTCCAAGCTGCACGTAGACATGGGTGAGGCCAGAGACACAAGTCGGAGTTGGCAGACGAAAGTCGAGTAAAACAAGAAATGAAAAGATGGGACTGCTCAGCAAACAGGAAAAATATTAGGTCTGTTGATCGGAGACAACAACAGCAGTAGCACAGGCGCTCGGAGCGCCAAACTACAAGGTCTAGCTACGGGCGTGAAGGTTCACGACTGTTTTACTTTCATACTCGAGTATTTGGTGAGTCTGTCCGAACATCTTGCGGTCAAATCCTTCGGATAGGCGGACGGCTCGGAATGGACATAGCGTACATCGCCCAGCCCGCCGCAGTTTCTACCTCCAACCCCTTGTTCCCACAAAACGCACACATCATACGCGTTCCGATCGGAACAAGAGAAGAGCCCCCCTCTAAGAACTTGCCAACAAACAAACCGAAGACGAAATACACAACACCCGTTTTCAGCACTCGATATGGTCGGGCGGGGCGACGGCTGGCCCCCTTCACCGCCCGCGACAAACACAAAAACATAGAGGGACAGTAAAAGCAGCGCCACCGCCACCACCACCAACGTGTAGCAGGCAACCCACCTTGTGCTCGGTCCGCCGTGACCCTTAGCTCCGCGCACGACTGCACCGCCTCCTGCACCTTGCTGGGTATCGGCGTCAGCCCGTTGTCGTCAAAGGAGCTCGACACCCCCATCTGCAGCGCGTCGACGAAGTCCTTCACGTCTTGCAGCAACACCGTCTCCCGCGCCCCCTTTCGCACCAACGCCGCGCATCGCCTTAGTCCCTGCAAAGCGTTCAAGTGCCGTCATGTCATGAGGCGTGTGTGCACCTCATGTCGTGTCATGTGTGTGCGCTAAAGCTTGGCAGTGTGGCACAGCGGGAATTGTGGAACTCTGTCCAGTGTTGGGGGATCGAATGTGATGTCGACAGGGTGACACCGTTCTCGGGGGCGGGAGAGCACACGGGGTGCCAGGGGACACTAGATGGTCGTGAAAGCATCTTCAACAAGCAGAGGCAGAGATTTCCGAAGCGATGGCCTTGGGATGGAGGGCACGAAAAAGTGCATGGCCTTGAATGACCGGATCGTTCAATCTGGTTGCCTGGCGGGGCTTCTCTGTGCACCTCACCGCGACGGCTGTGGCCACACGTCACGCCTCCGAAAAAAGCAGACGGCACCGATTTATTGCTACCCTTCCGTCCTCGCTATTGCTGTTGCCTCTGCTCGACTGCTTTCATGCGGGCACTCCTCGACAACATCACGATATTTTCGGTCTCCCCCCATCCAGGTGCATCGCTTTTCTTCACACCGCACCAAGAATCCGTGTTTTCGAAACACAGTAATTTTTTTCCACCACCCTCCTCAGGAAGTTGAGGCTACATGAGCACAGGATGGTCCTTTGCGGCTCTTGACACGGAACCTCGCACGGTGTTGTTGTACTCGGACAACACATGACTTGTAGGCGTACGACACCAACTAGTCTCCTCGGAACACACGGCGTAGGCATCGTAGATTATCGGGGTCCACAGCGACACGCGTATGGAACCAAGACCGTTCGCATACACAACACAGGCTGCATCTTGCTTTCTTTAGTTTCCTCCAATTTCTCCGGGGATTTGGGTCGCTGTGTTGCGGTGTAAAGTTTCCCCCAGCAAACTATGCAAAACGGCCCAGGTACATAGAGCTTGTCAGCAGCCGCCGCCGCCGCCGCCACCGTCCTTTTGAAATTTTGCTTCATTGCCGTGTGTCCTGTTGCCATCCAGACACATCTACCCGCCTCTGCCTACTTTTTTGCATACATCGTCCTTCCCGGTGCATTGAATGGTCCTCGTCAAATACGCTAGAGCTCTACCGCCCGGTAGAGAATGTCCGTTTCGAGACCGATTTCTTAGTCATCACATCGATTTGCTGCGTACAGCAGTTGTACAACCAAGGCGCTCCCCGAGTAATGAGCCGGACGAACATGGACAGGTTTCCCCCATCAACGAATCCCGCCCTCCTCAGACAGACAACGTCCCGATCGCCCCCCCCGCCCCCCCCCTCCTTACCAGCACAAGAAAATCGTGCTCCCACTCTAAAATGACCACTCCAAGCCCCCCCCCTGTGACGGTCACCCACCTGCCGTCGCCGTTTTCGCAGGTGCTGTATCTCCGCATCTAGCGCTTCCTCTTCCTCCAACCGTTTTGGCGGCGTCCCTTCCTCCACCTCTGAGGCCCACGCATCCACACCCAAAACCGCCCCTCCTTTTGCCGAAGAAGCTACGGAAGACCCTCCCCCCACGCCGCCGCCGCCGCCGCCTCCGCCACTTCTCTCTTGTGCGTCACCCGCACCGGGTGCTGCTGCTGCTGCTGCTGCTGCTGCTGCTGCCGGCGCTACTGCTCCCGTTGCCGCCGCTCCCGCGCCCCACCCACCAGCCGCAGGAGCTGCATCATTGCCACTCCGCCCATCCTCTCCCGCCGCTGCCACCGCCGGTGCCTCGGTGGCACCCGGTCCAAAAGGCACGGAAGCAGCCACGGCCGCCACGTTCTTCTTGATATAGCGGTCGAGGATGTCGATGTTCCGGTCGAACTCTTGTTGGATGCGCGTTTGAACGTTGTCGCAGCAGGTCTTTATTGACGCCTCGATATCGCCACCGCCGCCGCCGCCGCCCCCACCGCCGCCGCCCTGATCTGCTCCTTTGACCTTAGCCGCGGCCTGGCGAGTGTTCGACGATATTTTCCCAAAAAAGGGTGTGATGAACAACCTTCCTACCCACTCACACGCGGCACTGTATCCGCTTCGTTTTTTTTCTTAATATTAACGCTACAAATCCATCTCTATCCATAGAAACATGGTCTAGGATACTCAAGCACTGAATCCATAACGTTAGTGGTGTGCTACCTGTCTTTCTACGACTCTTTTGGTACTGGTTTTGGTTTATTGTTCATTAGTATGGTGTACAAGATGACCCAGCGGCAAGAAGACACCAACCGTGTGACGGCCACCAACGGAGAAGTTCTTGCAAGCCCTGGGCGTTAAACACGAGCTACGCGCGATGCTCGCACCGACTGGTTTGAACTTCTGTTGCCGGTGAAAAGCTCAAAACCAGCAGCAGAAACACTTGCGTCAAAACGTTGCTGTAGCAGTATCATGCAAAGTACTTCGAAGTAGAAGTAGAAGCCTTGTTGCTTTCGGCTACCGGGCAGAGCATCTCTTGGCAGCTGTCAACAACCTGCACTGCTCCTTTAACGTCGGAATGCGGATAGACGGGCAACAGACACTAACACACTGACCAGTTTTTGCTCATGAGACGCTGCCCCCGCCTGCAACGGCGTTCAAGGAGCGTGTGCTATGCAATGTGCCGAGTATTAAGGAATAATATAAACACACACAGAAAGACGTATTCCTACGATGTTACTTGTCGTCGGTCTCTCGCCAATAAGCAAGTACAAAAAGCTTGGGCGCACGCACCTGGATCAGTTCCTCCTCCATTTTAACCATAGCTTCTGCCAAGCTATCGTCCATGTAGTCGTACACTGCGAGGGAAACAAGGGCGAGGGGTTCGTCATCAGCAGCAGCTACAATACGTACAGTAGTGAATCGGACGTAAACACTAACCCTCCCCCTTGGGTCGCTGGTCCCTGACTCCCTGACCTGCGGCGGGTGCTCGAAATTATAACGGACGGCAACAACAGCAGGCACCTGCCGACAATTGCACCTACAACTTTTGAAAACAAGAAATCAACCACTGACCTTCGTCGCAAAAATTCTCAGTCTTGAAGTCTCCCAGCAGCGGATGTGGCTGCTGCTGCTGCTGCGGCGGCGGCGGTGGCGGCGGTTCACCTCCCTCTGCCGACATGTTGCCCGCCCGTCTCTTGATGCTTGACACTTTTTCAAACACAAAATTTGAAAAGTAGAGGCAAAGCTCCTATTTAGATGCCTGAATCACGGTACGGTGGCCAATAGCACCGCAACAAGACTAGCACGATAAGATGAGCAGTCGGTGTGGAAATGTAATTGTTTTTGTGACTGTGGCGACGTCCGTCTTCCTGTCTCACATGCATCCGCGAGGGCACGCAGTACAACGAACAGGGCGGGGGGGTTCTACGCTTGGAATCCATGGTGTACGGTATGCACTCGACGGCACTGTGCCGATTCACCGGCGCCGCTGGATTGGCCCCGGCTCTCAGCACCGTTCCCCAGTCCCTGCTGGTGCTGCACTGCACCATTCATTGTATTGCACTGCTGTGTTGCGCGACGGATCCGTCCGGCGACACCGCGCCACCAGCATTGTGTTGGACGTGATGACCACGGCGACCTTCGTCTCGGGAGATATGTCATTGGACGATGAATTCAGGACCAATCCTTTCTTTTCACCGGAAACTGCCGGCGCTGGTCATCCCTCGACAGGTACAAAACTCAAGTACATAGGTGCAGCAGAGATCTGTGTCGCGAGGCGGGGTCGTCTATCGTACCTTTTGCCTCGAGAGCGAAAGTGCAGCAGGAGTGCAACATAAATCACCCCGTCAGATGTCGTAAGCCGTTATCGGTAATACTGCTGTACGCAGTGTTTTTAGTCGGATCCTTTTTTGGTCAGCAGCCTGAGCCCAAGAGGGCAAATCCATCCATCCTGTACAGCAGTGTGTACATAGTACAGTTATGCATACGAAACACGGCCACGGCAAAGTGTATCTATGCATGACAGAGCTGGTTTGGCGTTGGAGGACGCTTCTAAGTGCCCTAAAAAGACCCCAAAGCTTGCAAGGGATGTCTCCTGCTCCCTCCTTGATCCCCCACCCCATCCCACTCGTGCACATTATTGTACAGCAGTACCTTCCTTGACATGTGTGCGTATCCCTCAGGTAACCAAGTTGAATCACAGACACTCTCAACCAAGTTGAATCACAGACACTTTCAAAATGTTAAGGTAGCACAGCAGTACGCTGGTGCCCGACCTTCAGTACAAAGCGGCCCCTCTGTATCGATGCAGTTTACCTCCGCCCGTTGCGCTGTTGGTGAATCCTACCCCTCTGTCAGCGGTCTGGTCAGATGGGAAAGTAAGCCTGGCAGGACTGTTTTCCATGCAGTGGGCTAAGCAAGAGCTGCATCTCACGGCGGTGGAATATTTGGGGTTCGCTTTGCTGCTGGGGTACGTCGCGGTGTACATCGCCGGGCGGAGACGGAATTACCACATCGCTCACGGGTTCATCATGGGTGTCCATGGGCTGTTCTGTAGCCGATTCTTGTGAGTAAACCTATCACTTGAGATTGCGGGATACGCGGCTGCTTCTGCCGCCGCCGCTGCTGCCGTTCAATACCGTGTAAAGCATGTCAGTGCTTGAGAGGAGTATATTATATGGTGTTCCATTACCGAGTCGAATGCAACCGACATCTGACGCCCATGTAGATGGTGCAGGTGGGCGCCATGACCCGATTTCGTCTCTGTTGTACGCCCACCTCGTTAACATACCGGCAAGGTGTTAATGCCGACGTCACGCTGACGAAAAAGCCTTGCCGCCTTTTCTATGCCGAGATGTTGGTGATGTTTTTTTCATTAGGCAATCGGGTACATAGCGCGGTCGATACTAATAAAAAAAACACACGCACGTTTGCGGATCTTTCCAGGGAGGCGGGCCCTGCGTCAGAGATGCCGCCCGTCGACCGACGGCAGCTCCTGGCGCGCGACAGCTGCAGCACCTTCCTCTACTACGCCACCGGAAGCCGGCGGTGCTTGGGCGTGCAAGTCACGATCGACCTCGCCAGCCGTCACGACCTGTTTATGGTCCTGTGGTCCTTCTTCAGCCCGGCCATGGGCGACCGGGTCACCGTGGAGGTGGCCTTCGACGACGAGGACATCGAGCCCGTGATCTTCGCCGTCGCCCGCAAGCGCGAAGTGAAGAAGCTCCTGCAGGAGGTGCCTCACCTTCAGGACTACGCGGGGGTCACCCGAGCGCCCTCCCTTCTCCCCCCGTCGCTCGTCTGCCTGTCGGAGAGCTCCGCTCTCCTGGAACCGATGCTGCCGCCCTCGGCCCTCAAGAGTCTCAGCGAGAAGGGAAACCTTCTCGAGCTCATGTACGTGACCGACCAGAACGACCAGCCGATATTGGGGCAAGAGCACACGCCCAAGAAGGTGCTGCGGTATACGTTCCGGTTGCCGGTGGGGTCGGCGAGGGGTGGCGACGGGAGCGACGGGGCGACGGAGATGATGGAGCTGGCGCTTTCCTACATCCAGCTCTTGAACAAGTGAGACATGCACTGTCGGTCTGCACCGCCACTTGGGGCTGATTTGTTTCAAATGCTGTACAAGTAGGGTGTCGCTGGGGCGTGCATGTTCCTGCCCGCCGGCTTGGTATGGTTCGAATGCTTCGTGTTGGCGGCGTTACGTCCAGAAACCTTCGCGCGGCGCCAACGTGGATGGAGTAGCATTGGAGTTGGTGTTGGGGCTGTTGTCTCGGCCCCCCAAGTTGGCGATGGCAACGAATTCTGTTCCGGGTGTTAGTTAGATATGCGACCCAAGTACGTAGAACCATAGTTGTTGTCGAGCGAAGCGCGGGGCGTCATGAGTAAGGTGCGCTATTTAAATTACTGGGGCAACGCGGCCTACTTCACGACCTGTTGTAAGTGTGTCTTTCATGACAACAGTCAGTTGACCACCTCATACGCAGCGAGTGACGATGAAACTCGAACACTCACACGTCGCCTTTGTGTTCCTTGTGGTACTTCGCTATCATGGTCAAATGCAGGTTTAAGATGTCCGCGGGCACGAAAAAGAAGGCCTTGGAACGGCGGGCAGCCGTGCTGAAACGCAAGTCTGCGATAACGCACGCCCAGAGGCAGGAGCGCTTCCAGATGCTGAAGAACGAGCGGCTGCAGAGAGAACGGGAAGAGTACGAGGGCCTCACCCCAGAGCAGAAGCGGCGGCGAGACTTGAGGGACGAAAAAAAGGCCAAGAAGGTTGCCTCCAGCAAAAGGCACAAGGTACGTACTTTAGCAACGGTGTTCCTTACTATCCTCATCACCGTGTCAACCAATGTCAACCAATCTCTCGCAATTCTCGTTGATCACGACACTTTTTTTGTCCTTCTGCGCTTTCTTCCCTTCTTGCACACGGTGCGTGAGCAGATGAGGGTGACCAAGGCATAGGTAAATATTGAGAAATTTGCGTGGCGGCCGCTGGACCAAGAGATGGAAAGAGAGGAGGACCAAAAGGGAGAGATGTGGCGTCATGGTTTCTTCGTGCTGAGCGACAAGACAGTTGTGCCAAGTGTGTGCGTTGGTTGGGGTTGTTGGATGGTATTTGAAAGTGAAAAACGCCAAAATGTGATCACGCTATTGTATGCATATGCGAACGACAAAACATCGTCGGTATCATTCAAATGGAATACTGGCATAAAGCGCACCAGAGTAAGTATCTCTTTGCGAGTCACGTCTCCTTTGCTACTATCAATGCCTTCCTTCTTGAAACAAGAACGCGCTGCGTCAGGGTGAGCGAACACCACAAGCTCCATGCCGGCTCCCCACTCTCGCCGGTATGGCTCCTATCGAAAAGGAGGCGGCCAAACACAGAGTGCAGCGTGCGTACTTACGCGTAAACCCTCACTCAAAGAACAAACTTCTACGATGCTGCACACATGATGGTTTTGGGGGCGGAGGAGGGGGCTACGACTGTAGCGTGAACGTTCAGAAGAGCATATTTCCTTCCAGAAATAGCTCTTGCATAGGTACATAGCTGTTCTGCTAAATAAGCGCCTTGTGCACTTGTGAAAGCAAACAGCTTTTCGGCATGGGATACCTGATCCCAACGCGACACTATAACACGCCTCAGATGAGTGCCGAAAAGAGTTGAAGAGGAAATGAACGTCACCACTTTGTCAAACGAAAACTCTCCGGTTGACGTGTAGATGAACAAGTGCCCGGTGCGGTACATTTCGTTAAACCTAAACGGACGGGTGTTGCTGCAAGGACGATCACATGATCGCACGAACACAGCTGGTCGGAGGCAGCGTACCATTCACAATGCACCAGCTCCTGCACGACCACCTACCGTCGTCCGTCTACCCCCCCAGTGCAACAATTACGCAGCGCTTTTGGTGCTATAATAAAACATAACTTAAACTTCTACGTCCAAGCGGGTATGGTTCCCTGTATACATTGTCGACATACGCGATCGGACGTGTACAGCAGTAGGCATGGCGGCAATTCGTGTACCAGGCTTCGGCACTCATGGTACCGAAGGGCAAGCCTCACTGGCAGCCCCAAGCGACTGCTCCGGCAAGCTCCCGTCCTGTACCAGCGGCCGCGATACCTCTTGTGGCGAAAACGATGGAGGTCCGTGATGGTTGCCGTTACTAGCCAAACTCGCTGCCCCAACCGACTGCTCCGCCAAGCTCCCTTCCTGTGCCAGCGGTCGCGGTGCTTCTTGTGGCGAAAGCGATGGAGGTCCGTGATGGTTACCGTTACTACCCAAACTCTCTGGTCTCGGAAAAGAAGACGGCACGGCGCTAGTAGCACGGTGAGGCAAAAGCACAGGGAAGTCTGCTTCCGTGCCCCCAGCGGCAGGGGCGCCAGCGTAGAGCCCGTGCGAGGGTGGCGGCGTCCGTTCGGGTTGCGGTGCTGCCGTTCCCGCCGAAAGCTGTAGTTGCGCCGGGAGAGGCACCGGCTGCAGTGGCTGCTGCAACAACGGCGGAAATACTTGGGATGGCGGGACCAACGGCGGATTCACCGAGCGTTCCGCCCCTGCCGCCTGCGTTTTTCTCATATTCTCGATTTCCTGCTCCTCCTCTTCGCGCGCGATGTCCCCCACCATCGTGACCAGGCCAGTCGTGCACGGTGGCGGGAGTGGGGTCGGCACTTTCAGGGCCGCCATTGAGGAACTCAAACATCGTCGGCGTTTCCTCTTCGCCCGCGTGTCCGCGGCCTCCACGGCCTTGCGCTGCAGCAGAGAGCACGCGATGCCGAGCACTTGCCCGAGCTTGTGCGGGAGACGAGCCTGCGTGCTCGAGAGCTGCCGCCACGTGTCCTCGCCCAAGCTCGACTCTCCCGGGCTTTGCAACAACAGGTCCACGAGGGACTGGGCACAGCGCCTGAACGGGACGTCGACCGAACCGCTCCGTATCAGCTTTTCCACCTTGTGCACGATGACAGTGGCGATTCCACTCCAGCATCCGGACCAAAGCCCCGCAAGGGCTAGCACGCCGAGAGCGAGTACCTCGTCCGGCGTAGCAGCTGCTGCCTCACCGTTGGCATGGTTCCGCGGTGGCCCGGCTGCTGGCGGCTCGTGGGAGCGAAGTTCCCCCGACACCGAAATGGGAGGCTGCTGCTGCTGGGGCTGGTCGGTGGGCGGTGGTGGGGGTTGCTCGAGCTGCGGTTGTTGTTGCTGCTGCATATCGGCGTCTAGTCCACTTTGCTCTTCCTGCACAATGCGGAACCACAGCAACGCCAATAACAGCAGCAGTGGTTTACAAATGAAAGAAAAGGGTAACGTGAGCATACTGCTGGCCTACTATTTGAAAACGTTGAACCCGCACGACTTGCAACGTAAGGTGTTACGTTCTACATGGCGCGCGAGCGGGCGAACCTTGTCATGTGTGGGTAAAAAAGAGTGCGACAGCAAAAGGATCGTTCTGCAGTAGGAGTAGTCGCACCACAACACCACAGCTGCACAGCAGTATACTTCTTAGAAGAGCAACGAACCACGTGCGTGTTCGATGTTCGATATCAAATGCATATTGTGCACTACTTTGCCAGCGATCAGTCACAGAGAAGCGCAGCATCACATTTGGTTGTCTACACGCAGAGTACCGTGTCCAACAGGCATCATACATATGGTTGTCACACCAGCTTTGTCACACTTCAAAATATCTCACCGAAGCCATCGTTTTGTTGGAGCACTGCCCTCCGCAAGCTCGCTCAATGTGCAGCTCCAGGAAGATCCACCAGTACAGGTGTAGAAAAATCAAGGGCGGAGAACGTCCCACCACGAAGTGGGTCCGATGTTGGCTGGCTTCAAGCCTGCTGCGTGTTCGATTCAGGTGCCGGACGGTATCTCTGTGGAACTGGGAGAAGCAGCAGCAGGGAGAGGCGCCGCGTTTTTTTTTTTTGAAAACGGGAGTTGAGAAGATATCGCGTTTTCAAGGCGGGGACATATGCGGTAGCTCTGAGTTCCATGATTTCGACTTGAAGCTTCAAGATTAGCGGGCATACTCTGTTCTACTTGTCGGCTGTGCTGCTCCTTGTCACCAACAGCAGTCATCTCCTTCCTCGGACCAACAGCACCATGAAGTTCACCGCCGCATCAGTTCTCGTGGGGCTCACCACCTCCCAGGCTTTCATGGTGCAGCCCACCATGAAGACCGCCGGACCGTGAGTGTTTCGTATTTTTCACTCATGTAATTTTGCACTCTCTGTGGGTTTGACGTTTGCCCTTGGCCCTCCACTCGTGTGCTGCGTGGGCGAGCGAATGCTGCCGCCGTGCTGCTCACCACACCATGCAAATGGGAAAAGGCTAGCCGATAGCTCACAAACCATGAGCTCTGCCAGCGTGTATCTGTGTTTTTGGCTCGTGCATCGTCTCACCTCGCATGAAAACACGCGCGAGAACTGCTGTGGGAGGTGGACATGAAATTGGACGGGTTCGCGTTGACGTACTCTATTTTCAAGAGGCTTTTTTCGACTGCGTCACTGGAAACTCGGTCAAAGCCACAACGGCGAGTGGAGAGAATACGAGGAGCAAATGCCTTATCCACGGAGGCGAAAGCTGGACAGGCAGTGGGCATGGCACCGCTTACCGCCATGGTCGTGGCAATGAAGCCCGCATCTCTAGCGCCCTCTCAAAATGTCTCGTGGGGTGTTGTATCTCGCTTAATTTTGATCATGTCTCTCCATCGGGCTGTTCCTCTCCCTTGTCCCCCCTCCATCCTCTCATGCGCAAGTTAGGTAGCCGCGGATCTAGCACGGCATCTACGCCAACCTCAACGTACGCACACGGTCTCGTTTCACCTTTCCCCTCCTATCAAATGCCCGTTTTTATCGCTCGTCCCCGTGAATTCCGTTACTCTTGGGTCATGGTTCCCCTTGACACGGCTCGCAGGGACGGCGGCAGCAGCCGCGCTGACTTCGCCAAGCTTGTTACCGGAACGGTGGCAGCCACCGCCGCGGTAGCAGCACCCGCGCTAGCCAAGGCCGGAACCGGAGCGAAGCAGAACTGGTTCGGCGTCATCGGCGCGGACCCGGAGCTCGGGGGCGGCATGTCGAACTACTTCGCCGAGTCGGACACTTACTCCCCGTACTCGCCCTACTCCAAGGGCGACGACGCCCTCTACAAGTCGAGCGACCAGGCCTTCATGACCAAGGTCAAGATCGACATTCTCAAGGACTCCCAGAAGAGGCTGCAGACTGTGCCCGGGTTTATCGAGGGCAAGAAGTGGGAAGAAATCCGCTCTCTCCTCACCGCCAAGGTGTGTTGTTGAAGTGGGCGCGCATGTGTTCGTGGATGGATCATGCACTGCTGCTGCTGCTGTGTTTTCTAGAAGACATGAACATGAATGAACGAATCAATATCGCGGGGTCGAAACGGGTATGTTGAAGGTCTTTCAGTGAAGTGTGTGTTCTTTGACACTCTTGTTTCTTGTTCTGCACATCTTGGCGGCCCCTGTTTCAAGCCTCCCAAGTGACACAGTGTCTTGCGTATAAAACACGTGACGCGTCCGTGTAGCGTGCTCGCGCTTGTCTTTCGCTCCCTTTTGCGCAAACGCTCAACCTCCATCATTGCTGCGCTCGTAAGCTTACGTTTCCTTTACCCTTACCCAGAACGCCTTCACATGCAACTTGCATGTACACACATGCGACTTACTCCGCATGCAACTAGACTCAACCACACACCCAATATCTAGCCGGTTTTCTTCCACTAGCGCAGTGCCTTTCAACACATGCCCTTCGACTGTGGTTATGTATCTCGAACAGGGTCGTCTGTCTGTGCTTCCATGTACCTTTTTGCTAAAACACACCACAAGTATAAAGCAAGAGGGGGAAATGCGTCCCATCTCGCCGAATAAGTGCGGTACACCTCTCACCACCCAAAGAAACGGAGGTTCACAAGAATAATGAGAAATACAGCAAGCTTGCCCAGTGTCGCGGCCCCAGCCAACAATCACACATGTGCAATCGTGAACGATCAGTTTCGGGGCAATTACGGTGATCTTGTAGCGGTGGGCTTTCATCCCTACCCCGGCGTGTAAAGTCTTCTGGTCGAATTGAGAACAATACTGTCCTGCACCACAGTACCTCATGGAAGATCCATGGGAGTAATATCGTTTTTTGTGACGTCCGCATACGCATAAAGTATAGCCAACACGCAACGCGTACCTGTCACTCAAACCCCGGGTGGAACTGGCGACAAAACACTACTGCTGTCGATGGTGTCGGACGTGTCTCACATTGTTGCACAACCAAACAGCAGTCCTGCTGTTGTAGACCGTCCCGGGAGTGCTGGATAGTGCAACAAAATAAAACTCATTTTCCCGATTTTCATGTCATCTCTTGGTTGCTCTCTGTGGCGGAGAAATCTGGCTGAAGGACGTCACATGCCACGGCGTTTACGGTGTTGGACATGTGAAAAGACCATGACACACTGCGTTTCGAGTAACGGATCTTGAGCATGTGTTTGCGTAATAACATTACATCAGGTGGATTCCTTGTTGCTGATGTAGTCGCGGCACCACTCGTCCTGCGAAAACGCATTTCCTATTTTGTGGCAAGTTTATGCCGATGCTGGCATATGGCAGCATGCCGGATGTACTTGGTAGAGGTTGTGCCATGTTTTCTCACAGCTAAAACCTCCTTGGATTTGGATTTGAACATTTCCGACGCTGGGCTTGGGGGGGGAGAAGGGAGGGCGTACTCTTATGTTTTGCATGCCTTCGCGGTTAGACCATTGGCCACGCGTCCTCGAGAGGACGGAGCATTGTTCCCACAGGACCGATCACCGATGGCCAATGGTTCCTTCCTACTTTGCCAAAGGTGGCTCAAAAATGTCAACGTCTTCCCTAGTCTGTCTATCCTAACGATATCCTTTCCCGCCTTTTCAAACCACTTCCTACTCCCCAGTACAGCTACCGTCCTCTCCTCTCTATTCCATGCCTCAAACATCTCCCTGAACGCTGGGCGGGGCGTGGTGAAACACCATCACCCGTTGTGCTCGTAGAAGTGAACCGCGTATATCTGCATCACAAGTTGTTTTTTGCACGCAGCCCCGTTTTCCGTAGTTTGATGGCGTGCCTATTGCCTTCGTGTTTGTTTCCTACGCGCTTGTTTGAGTTGGAACTCGCCGCGGCTCAAAACAACACGTCGCATCAAGAAGCTTCTTAGGATCCTGCGCGTTTCTTAACGTCTATCGGTGTATTTCCATGTATGACCACTACAGTTGTTGGTCATGGAATCCCTAGTTGGGCGTGGAACACCAAACAACCGCAGAAAGCCGTCAACAAGCGGAGCGTCCAACGGCCGGTCCCACGTATCCCTTCGCTGATCGTGTGTATTCGAAATCGAACGAGCACTATATATGCCTAGCTCTTGGCTTCCTTGTGTTGTACAACTTACATCCTACCGCGTCGGCGGCATGTAGTGTTGCAGAATCTGGTTCGTGGTGCGTGCAGTCATCAAAGGAGCAAGGTTGCCGCAGGTGGCACATTTCACGACGTGTTCCCTCTGTGAAAGCCCTCGTGCCATCACATCCAGCCGACGGCTGTTAGCAGACCACTTTGAATTGCGTGGCAAGATGCCTTTGACAACAGCCTGGTTTTCGCGCCGTCGGTAGAGGCATCTCCCCATCCCATCTGCTCGGCTGTTTCTCCATGCCGTGCTAATCTCGAGCCAGCCAAAACCGATGGTCATACTGCATGAGAACCACCGGCTCCTACGACCTTGTTCAGTTTGTTCTCGAAATTTGCGTTGATGATACACGCTAACCACTCGTGGCGGTTGCCTGAAAGGCGACGTGCTGTGGAGTGTGGCCGTTGCGTTGCATGTTAACCCAATAGTTGCTTCGCTTACCACTCGTCGTCTCAGTAGCTAATAAAAGATTTTTGTATTTTTTACATACTTGTTGATCGAATGATCCTTGGAAGCCAGTATCTTAACCCCCTCCTGTTCAACTCGCTCGCCCTTCATGCGTTGTCTATTTGTTTGCGTGCGGCTGTAACAGGCTTACAGCCTGCGGGATGCCATGAACACCCTCGCGGCCGACAAGCCGCAGGCGGCGGGCGTAGCCAAGGTTTTCTACAGGGACATCGAGCAGCTCACCGTGTACGCGCGCCAAAAGAACGGCCCAGCCTGCACCAAGGCCTACAACGACGCGCAGGAGCACCTCACCAAGTACCTCTCGCTCATCTAAGCTCGCCGAACGCGTTTCAGATTTCGTTGAGTGGTACTTAAGTTTTTGCTTTTTTTCTTGTGTTCTCCCTCTTTGTCGTCTGTTGTAGAGGACGGCTGTTCGATTGGCGCGGGGCGATGGCCAAGGAGGAAAATATGACGTTTTTTCTGTTTCTGGGCCAGCGAGCGAACGATCAGGGGCAAAAGCATCGAGGGGGCCAGAGGAAAGGGGCCAGTGTGTTGCCGGTGGGATATGTGATACACGTGTAGAGGTGTCCCGTGTTTTTGTTTTTGCCTTGGGGAGCGACAAGACCACCCTGGCCTGTTGCTGAGGCTGACCCCACTCTTCGTTCTTGGTTCGTGGTGGCGCCCCGTTTTACGCCGTGCGGTCCTGAGTGACTGCGCTCGACCTCGTCTGTCGCTTGTAGAGACGGGGATCATCTTTTGACCTGTGTTGATTTAGACAGCGCCTGAAAAAGATGGCATCCCTTTAAAAGTCATTTTACAAATCAGAAGACGCAGAGGTCACTTAAAACACCCCCCACCCCCCCGCCCTGTGGAAACCGGTCGCGGGCTCGTGTCTGGGTGTGTTGCGTGCGGGATCGCTTCACCAGAAGGGGGTAGTTTCTTGACCCTGCAGTGGTTGGGAGATGACTTGACTCGTGTGCAGACACGCCGGGGCGCCATCTCCCCAGACGTGGTTGCTCGATCATCACGCCGCGGGGCCTCGGGACCATTTATCTTTTTAAGCTGGAACGGGGATGTGTGGTGATTCTTTTGGTTCCGATTGCCCCATTTTTGGAAAAATATGGACGTTGCAAGCAAGGTTTTCATCGAGAACAATCGAAACGTCACAAATCATCAACCTACAGAGGTAGACTGCTGTGTGAGAGCTCCCTCAGCGGCTGCAGCGGCCGTACTCGGTTGGCGGAATGAGAGCTTACGTTCGAGTTCAAGCGGGGGGGTGTACGTGCATGGATGGGCGCATACGACCTGAGGGCCTGCTACAGATGCTTCTCTCTTTTCATTCTGTTCCACACGGGAATGCACCCGCCACCCGCCGTATGGTCGGAACAAAGGACATGAATACACACCTTTTTTTGTTTCGAGGAACATACATCCGAGCACGTTCCCCATACATTTTTCAAGCCCACTCTGACCCAAGCCAACGCCTGGGCGCGCAACTTCTAATCGCCTGCAGAGAGTTCGCCCACCCCAAGAAACATACGCTGTTGGTGCCCGAATGGGGGTTTGTCGTACACGGGAGCGGGAAGGCCAAATACCTGCGCCGTGCGAATGTGGAGCGCTTTCCACACAAGGACAAAGGTCCAGGGGCACCGTCCTCAGTGCTCGAGCGTGGAGACAAATCGTTTCAGGCCGCGAACTGTTTCGGGGGGAGCGGAACTTACACCCCACACACGTCGTTTGCTCTCATGCGGGAACCAAAATCGAAACTGGTGTGCGTGAATTTAAAGTGTGGCGTCTGAGGCCAGCCTCTACTCGTTCATTCCACTGACAAAGGAGGCAGGCGGCCACGAACAACAGATAACACGACTCTTCCTTGATTTATCTCACACTCGTTCCCGACGCAAACCAAGGACACCAACCACTACCCCCTGGTGTAACGGAAAATGATGACCGAACTCATACACACGCACGCGTTAAAGGACAACACAACGAACGAATCTAGAGCTCAAGGTGCTCGGTGGCCTTGCAGCGGGCGACGTAGTCCGACTTCTCCAGGCACCCGTCGCAGTCCACCCCCCGGTCTGCCAGGATCCCCTTGAGTTGCTTGACTCGCAGCTTGTTGTAGTCCATGTTCTCCTTGTCGACTTTGATCGCTGTTGTTGGTGCGTTGTATTCGACGGCGTGCGTCAAAGAGGGCGTGGTCAAGCGGGGGGGGGGGTGAGGCAAGCAACAGGCACGAAAAGTGGGTGGGCGCCGATAAAGGTATAGTATGTGCTCAACAACACAAAACTTTGTTATAGGAGGAGCGTGATCAGAAACCGAGCAGTGGCGTTTCGGTATTTGAGTCCTCCATGTACACACAGCCATTAACTTCCGCCCGAAAACTACTCAGATAAGTATGCATTTGTAGGCCTAACGTGTGGCCGTGTGACGGGTGCAACTACTCTCGAGATACCACAAGAGAACGCTGTCCAGCAGAATAGAGCAGCGTCCTCGATAATGAAGCCATTGTGAGAAAAAAGGAGGCGTGATCCTTGTGCTACTTGGGGACCTCGGCATCATGACAACAAAAGAAAACACAACAAAAAGACCTGTACTTGTACGCGGCAAGAGCGGTTAATATCACTTGGGCACTGAAAAGCCAGCGCCGAAAGAGCGGTCAGGTAGGCCTTTGCCCAACACCTGGTCGTGCTTCCTTTGAGTACACCCCCACCTCTACCCCGACGCCTCTCGCACTCACGGTATTTGATCTCGCAGACTTCTGCGTTGGATGCCTTGAGACGCTGGCAGACCTTCAACTTAGGCATACCCGTGGAGAAGGGGTGTGAAATCGTCTTCTTGATCGGCAAGAAATAGTAGCACTGGCACATGAAGAAATCCAAGCGGAAAAGTTGTGGCGACAGAGAGGGGGGGGGATTGAAATAGCGTCGCCTAGCACAGGAAGCATTCACAATTGCAGACAGTACTTCGAAGGACCACCGCAAGCGACGGAGGGATGCGTAAAATCCAGAGATGTAAGTCTTGGTCGTTTCCTAGATGGGGCGAAAGATGGGACATGCCCATTTCCCTCTGCGCAAAAAAGAGCACCGAGCACCGACATTAAACACAAATGCGTGCAAGATCCGGTCAACATCCCTGGCAAAACACACTTTCTGTGGTGACGGTGGGGTATGCGAATGCCGAGACAAAGCGTCATCACGCCCAAGGTATTGTACGCGCAGCAGTGGCAGTAGGAGGCATAGAACCGTCTAACCTATACGCTCATCCAATTCTGAGCACCAGCGGACCGTGTCTACATTGGCCCGAAGAGAGGGAGTTTTATGTGCTTGCTCTACATACACCCTAACCCCGAGCGCAACAATCTGTAGTTGCGACAGCAATCTCCACAGAGCTACACCCATGTAGAAACACCAAAGTGCTCTTGGCTGCGCTGTGCTCGATTCTGTAGACTTGAGGCATTTGGTGCTACTTGTCTACGGTTGAGGAGGCCTCCTTGTGAGTGAGGTGCTGCGAAGCAAGCACCAGCAGCGCTGGCCTACTCTCTCAAAAAAAAAAAACGACGGGGCGGCAACCGAAACCTCTTGGCAGGAGTCTCGTGGTGGAGCACGTCCGTATCGAACACACAGGTGTGGAGGAATCATTCGCCGTTTTTCTTAGCGTGCGGACTCTTTACTTTCCCAGACCAAGGTTGCTTCTTTCTCCCCGGAAACTGAGGTCTTAAACTACAGCTACACTTTCCAATCTGGCAGATTGTAGCCACTTAGAATTCCATTTTGTGCAAGTCCATACGCCAAATGTCTTTCATCATCTCCTTGTGTATCCCACACTGACCATCTTGTCGTCCCGTGACGAGAGCCGTTGGTCGCAGAAAGCATCGATGGCCGCTTCGATCTTATCCTTGTTTTTGCGATCCGCCGCGGGCATCGACTCGCTGATCTGTTCGAGCACGTTAACGCAAACTGCCATACGCCGCACAAAAGTTGCAACAAAGGACAAGTCGAGCGGTATTGGGAACCGAGCCGCGTGTGGCCGTGGGGCGGGTAGGAATCATAGGTAAGCTGGAAACGTTGTTTGAAAATGTAGCTATATACTCAATTCCAGAAATCACGATCGAAGCATGGATAGCGTGGAGAAGTTGCACAGCAATAGATGGTTGAAGGTGTGGACTAAGAATTTGGAAGTTAAAGGCGACGAGGGGAAGGGTAGCACCGACAGCGGTGGCAAGCTCAATACTTGTATTTGTGTTCAAAGCTGTGGCACTGCCGCAAGAAAACTACTTCTAGTGTACAACGAGCGAAGTACGCAGATCGTGTATCACAGGATTGAAAGGGCACTCTCTTGGGGCAACAACAAGTTTGACACGTATTCCATCCACCGTAGTGCAGGGTCGGTGCTAACCCTCGAACCGGATAGTCCACCTTCCACTTTCCACTTGCAAGCATCTTCAAGGACGACAACGTAGGCAAGAGAGGCCGAGACACTCCTACCGTATGCATGAGACAGTCATATTGACACATACCCAGAATTCCCCCCCCTCATCGCAATGGGTTTCGTCTAGCTCTCGGCAGGATTCTACATCCTCCTACATACTGTTGTACCATTCGCGGAAATCGAGCGCGTAAGCTCGTCAAAGGGTTCCATACGGTATCTTGCGTCATCGACAGTGCACAGTACGTGACTACTACTGTGGTAATGACTAATCCTGCTGCGACATACGGAGGTTTTCCTGCATTTGGCAACAAAAGGTATTGCATGATATGTGGCGGGTTGAACGACGGCATACAGATCGGTCAGTCGCACACGCTGGCTATCAGCAAACCTCCTTTGCTCCCCGGTACCGCTATGCGACTTTGGTACCGCCGTGTGCGACAACATACCTTCACATTCTTTAGGATCCGCTCGTGGGGCGGCTGCTGTCAACGCGCACAACACCGCAGAGATCGCAGCTAACAATTGGAACTTCATCGCCAATATTCCTTCCTGCAGACAAAGGCGAACAGGGAAACAACGTGTTGCAGCAGTTAGCTACTGACACCGCACACGCGTGGGGTTGCGGAAACGCAACTAGAGTTGCGCTACGACATACACATGCCCGCCGGCAGGCGGAGACGATACGCTGTACACACACGACCGCTCGATCCAAAAAACACCAGGACCTTCGCATCACAGGGAATCGACACCCACACTCCCCCGACGAGGCTGGAGTACAGAGCATCGCTACCAACATCATCTCGCTGCTCTAGGACAAGGGTGTCTCTATACATACTGCCGAGCCAACCGCGTTTGTGGTTTGGAAGTGTGCACACGTGCACGCAGCCGATCGTTGTGCCGCATCTGTATGGAAACAATGGTGACTGAAACGACTGCACCTACCTCGTTCTTGCTCGTTGCCTTTTACCGATCACCGGTGGAAGAGCTGGCTTACGGCGAGGAAGCAGAAACAGCAGTGGAACGGGTGCGTGGTGTCTCTAGCTCTCTAGCTCTCCACTCTGTCGGCTCTGCGCTCTCGTGGAATTGCTGTCTTCTGATTCGTCCACCTACACAGCCCGTTAAGTAATCCACGGAGCCCCCTGACACGGGTACGTTTCATCCGGCAAAAATCTTTTTTCGTAGGGGGCTACCCCCTTGCACACTACACGTTGGTTGACACTTGCCCTACTCCTGCTGTACTGCTGCTGCTCGTTCCACGCGAAACCCGCCCACGCGCTCCATCTGTTCACCGCCGTCCGGAGGGAACTGTTTACAATGGAGAAAGAGAATGTGGAGGTTGCCTCGTCGGCGGAAGCGCGGCCAAAGCAACCGTCAGCAGCAGCAGCTAGTGATGAATCCACTGCATCTTCTTCTGCCTCAAGCTCTGCAGCCCATATGTTTGTCTTCTCCAACAACAAGGCAGGCATGGGGAGTGTGGACAAGGAGAGGGTCAATCGCATCATCTACGAGATGAGCAAGAACTCATCCTACTTTAAACAGGCTAAGCTTCAGGACGACAAACTTGATCAGAAGGTATGTATCATGCGTGTGCTCAATGTGGCGGTTTGAAATTCGCGAATTCGCGCTTGTCTCGCGGTTTGGCATGCGAACCGGCTCTCTTTGTGTTTTGTTTTCAAAGTGTGCGGGTGAAAACAGTTGGGAGTTGGGAGGGAATTTACGGGTTCGGTCATTCACCATTGTTATGTGTACGCGCTTGGTTTGCCACGATGGCCAAGTCAACAGTCAGTACAGCGTATTTTGTGAGCGGCAGTACCATCTCTGTTACAGCAGTACATTCGCACTCCCGCGTCCTCAAACGCGTAGAACGCGTTTCATCGACTGCTCATGGTAGCTAATGCACCGCCATGTCGTGCATGGCATTGTGCCGCCGCACTTATTTTCAGGTGGCAGAGATGAAGGTGAAACTCAAAGCACTGGGCACCGTTCGCAAGGCCCAGCGTACTCGCCAGGCGGACAAGATAGCGACGGAGCTGGAAGCACAGCGACAGCTCGACGAAGTCTGTATGGTGATAGACATGGACATGTTTTATGCGGCCGTCGAAGTCAGGTCAGTTATACCGACCACTTCTGCCAACCCGACCGAAGTTTGTTTATTGTTGGGGGAACCTGTTCGGAACGTGCGTTCGCGGGGTGTGATATCGAAAATCGAAGGGCCAGGGTTGCTCTGCATTCCTTCGAACTCAGCACATCCCGGCATGCCGTCTCGACGGTACTTTGCTGTCGATTATCGTCAAACTACGGCAGTGCCGCGAAAGGGGAGGGGTCCCCGCTTTGCCGCGCCGCTACATCGTCGTGGTATCCCCTGGAGACATGCTTGCATGCTTGCATGCTAATAGTACATCGGCTGTCTAGGCTCGAGAACAACAACCAGGGCGAAAGACATTGTGTACGAAAAGTACCTCGTGCGTGACCCTGTGTATGATGAGTTTCCGAACGGATAGCCTTGTGTCGAGGGTTGAACTCGCTGCTTTTAGACCAGTTTTATCCTCGACTGGTCTGGCGTCTGATATCACGATAACCATGACAATGATAACACTGCTTCACTCAGAGATCGGCCCGAGCTCGCGGACAAGCCGGTTGCTGTTGGCGGCGAAAGCATGATAAGCACGACGAACTACCAAGCCCGGCTCAAGGGGGTCAGGAGCGCTATGCCGGGCTTCATCGGCAGAAAGCTTTGTCCCGAGCTGGTGTTCGTCAAGCCGGACTACGAAAAGTACACGGTGGTGGCGGAGCAAATACGGGAGATTTTCCGCGAGTACGACCCCCGCATGCGCGCTTACAGCCTGGACGAGGCCTACCTGAACGTCACCAAGGTGTTGACTGAGAGACTGGGGTTGGACGGGTCGAACGCTCAGGCAGGGGTGGCGGCGCCGGCGGCGGCAGCGGGTGCATCGGAACATGTTTGCTCGGGCACCTACGAGGCTGAAGCGGACACGAGCCGGCGACCAAGTATGGGCTTAAATGTAACGTACCCAGAGAAAAGGTACGAGGGGGACGAGGAGGACGACGAAGAGGCGAGAGATGGCCGAAGCGGGGAGAGGAGGAGCCCAAGAGAAACGCGGCGGATAAGGCTGTTTGAGGCCGCTCGAGCCCTGGCGGAAGAAATCAGAGGGAGGATAAGGGAAGCAACGAAGCTCACGGCGAGCGTCGGCATCGGTCCGAACTTCATGCTGGCAAAGGTGCGCCAATGAGCAGCTGGGCAGTAGATATAGTACGCACATCCCGTCAAAATACGAAAACTGCGTCAGGTTTCTTGCGGTGGCCCAGATGGGCCTCACGCATCGTTGGAAATGGCCGTGAAGATTATTGCCCTTGTTTCTTGGCGAGCACGCTTGGCCGACGAATATCTGAGAACGGCCGAAGTCTCAAAATTGTTAGAATCGCCTCCCGACGCACCCGCCCGATCTGGCTGTTTCGTTGGAACGCAGATAGCTTCAGACTGGAACAAGCCGGACGGACAGATGTGCATAGGGGGTGACCGTGCGGAGGTGCTGCGGTTCCTGCACGATCTTCCTGTCCGAAAGGTGAGCAACTACCTTATGCAGCGTTTGATGTATTTGGCATGACTGCAAAGGTTTCTCTGCGGTTCGCGTTGAAGTACGTGAAAGCCCCCCTTCGAGGAGTGCAGCCTTGTCGATGTATATGGTGTGGATGTAGGCTGTTGATCATGTGCGATTGGACTTTCCGGTATGTCATTCCAGCCTCTTCTCGGTGGCTGCTGGTGGGTTTCGACGGTGAGCACCAGAGAACCCCCTGGGTGTTACTCGCTAGGGCGTGCCCACGAGAATGTGTTGTAGCTGCTCTTTCTTGTTATTTCGACCTTGTGCGCTTCCTGTTCCACCGCACTACAATTTCGCTTTGGGCCACCACACGTTTCAGTCAGTGCGCCCGAACATGCGTCCTACTCACAACTGTTTCTCACTTCTTCTTCCGTACACGCGTGTGCTTGTCTGGTTGGCTGCTGGCGCAACGCACGCTTTTGCTCTCGCACAGATCGGTGGCGTGGGCAAAGTGCAAGAGAAGTGCTTGAGAGAGGCGCTCGGCGTTGTTACCTGCGGGGATCTGTTTAGGGAGCGGGGCTCTGTCATCCATGTCATGACCCCGCACACATCGCGATGGCTGATCAAGGTACACAAACAGTAGGTTCTTGGACGTTTGGGCGCCGTGTGTGCTTCCAAATTCCGGTGCCTGTTTGCCAGTTGTGCGCGGTACGTTGTCCCGTATGGTATGTAAAGTGTTGTGGTGTTTGTTTACGCCGGGATAGACTCTCTGCGCGTTGTACAGGCCCATGTTTGACACCCTTCTTTCCTCCACTCCTTGTGCTGTGCCCCTTTTTTTCGACCTCGCGCCCATCCCTTTGCAAGGCTTCGCTAGGCATCGCCTCCGCCGATCATGACGTGGCAACTGAACAGGCGCAGGCGGTGGGTGCCGTCACTCGCAAGCAGATCAGGCGAGTGCTTCCCAACAATGGCGTCGTTATTCCTACCGAGATTTTGGCGATTGTCCTAAGAGCGTGTACTTGCTGGCTGGGCGGTGGGTGAAGAGAATACGCCGTGTTGTCGGTCGAAACGCTTGTTTTTCAAGCAAGTGTTGAGCATGCTGCATAAATTTGCGCACAGTATCGAACTTGACCAAATTGATGTAGTAGTAGTAGTAGTAGTAGTAGTAGTAGTAGAGTAGATGTTGTTGTTGTTGTTGTTGTTGTTTGTTGTGAACTTTCCGACAAGTGAGGAAATGGGCCCCGATGACTCACTGTTTTTTTTCGGATGAGCATGCGTAGCGGAAAGGACAGGCCTGCTAACCCGACGCGGGGTTTGTTTGGTGGAGACATTCGCTTGCACGGAACGCAGCGGATTCAACATAACGATAATATGGTCTTGCTGTCTTCGACAAGTGTGAAATCTCGTTTACTTTTCCCAAGAACGGCGGGCTGTCTACTCTCGGTACTTACTTCATACCAGAGTTGGCGAAAAGCAACGACGCTCTGTAGCAATTCGTACGGCATCCAACTGCTTTGTGGGAGGCCTGTGTGTGCTTCAATATAAGCTTTGTGTCGTTGCTGATGTTGTGGAGTTCGTTCTTCTGCTCGGCTCACGAAATTCAGCAAGGAGCGGACCTTCGGCGAGCTGTCGGCGCCCAGAGACCTCTTAAACAAGTGTCGAGAGATCTGCGACTCCCTCGCGGCCGGTGAGTCTCAAGCGACTTCGGGATATTTGGCCATACGTAGCCGCTCTTTCTTTTGCGGAGGTTTTTGAGCCGTCGTGCTGGTGATGCATTTTCGTTTCGCTGGTCTTTCGTGGAATCATGGTGAATCGTCCCGTGGGTCCATACCGCCTGTGGTTGTTGCGATTGTTTACCGGCGGTATTGTTCTTGCACCTGTCGAAGCACACGCCGCATCACGTATTAATCTCGTGGCGGGGGTAAGCCCACTTTCTGTTATTGGAGACAGCAGTGGGTCTTTCTGTCTGTTCGCGCCCGTTTTCATTTTCCCACCGCCGATGTTACGATGTTACGATGTTACGATGTTACGGCGATCGGCAGAAAGGCCTGTCTATGCTATAATAACAAGGTTTTTCGAGATACAGCAGTTTATCGCTATGTATGTCAAGGCAACGATGGACTTGTTCGCACCAAGCCATCCCTAACTCTTGACGTCTCGCCTTGCGTGTGAGTCACCTGCTACCTTCCCCCGGCCGCTTGGGAAAAAACATGTTCGATCGTGCACCCCGTGGGCGTTCGTTGTCCCCCCTAGAAATGGCAACCAAGGGGCTCGAGGCCAAAACCGTCGGGCTCAAGGTCAAGACCACCAAGTTTCAGGTCCGCACGCAGGACTCCACGGGCAACGCGTACGTCAGCTCGGCGGACGACCTGTTCTCCGCGGCGTCGGCCCTTCTCCAACGGGAGATACAGGGCGCCGCCGCCGCCTCCGCCCCGGGGGGGAAGCTGCGCCTCCGGCTGATGGGGGTCAGGGCGTCCGGATTTCGGGGCCAGGCCGGAGCCCCGATTTTGCCGGGACAGGCGACTCTCGACGGGTTTCTTTCCTCGAAGGCGGCCGAGGGGGGGTGTCAGGGGGAGGATGAGAGCGGGAACGACGGCAAGCGGCAGCAGAGGGAGGAGGAGGCGGACTCGGCGGGGGGGGCTGAACAACAACCCCCGGGAGGGTTGTCGCGCCCGTCGAGACCAACGCCTGCTGCGATGGAGCATCCGTTCGTCGGCGGTGGTCAGGGCCGCCCTGGTTCTCGTCCGCGAAGCAAGGAACTACTGCGGGGGGTGCAGCCGGCGACGGGTATCCCGCGTAGCGCGTTGTTAGCGACAGCGGCGGCGAACGTTTCTTGTCCTGTTTGCGGGGAAGAGCTAGGTGCAGCGTCCAACACGGCGCTGAATCGCCACCTAGACGCGTGCTTGGGAGTGTGTGCACCCGCGGGCGAGGGGGAGAGGGGGGGAGTGGGTGGTGGTGGGACCGGCCGTCGGAGATCGAAGGAAGAGGCCTTCCCGAAGAAGCGCGCAAAGGTTTCGAGCTCGGGGATCGAACGGTTTCTCACACCAAAGGAGTTAGTGTAGTGTAGAATTATTGTGGCGACGTGCCTTTGTGCATGTAGAGAGGTGTTCGTTGCTTTCATACCACCATGTGTACAATTTTCTGGCCATGTGTTTCGCTGTGCCAGTTTTGTACATCTGCTCTTGTCTTTGCATAATCGTCAGTGGACAAGCGGTCTGAGGGAAGGAAGAAATATTCATCCAAACCCGTTTGGACCGTTATATATCTGGGCTCGTCTTATGCGTTCTCAAGGGAATGTAATGGCTTGGCTTCTCGCAAGACAACGCGGTGGCAGCACGTACGTATATTGTGGGGGTGTTTGATTTGCTGTCAAGTCTATCGGAACGAGGACCGAACCAGACGCCAGACCGTCGATGCTCAGTTTCCGATTTCGCCGCTACACCGCCGAGCATAAGATACTGCTGCGTGATGCTGCAGTGTCTAGAACCCCCCACGGAGGTGTGGTATTTTCGTAATCTGCATTGATAAGACACAATGAAAGGCCGTTTTGCGCATCTACCTTACAGCAGTACAATACGTAGCTGCAGACTACGATGTTCATTCTGTTGCATCACACACTACATCTGATGCACGTGAAGCAAACCACAACAGTACGAAAAACCGGTATGGCTAAAGCCCCTTCTAATACGTAAACTTGGAGTATTGCATGCAGTCAATGGACACTTTCGAAAGTCGGCCTTCTTATTCAAGTTCTTTACTTGCCCACAAGAAAGAACGTCTCTCTCTGGAAGGTATCCACACAGATATACACTTGTAGAGTCTCCAGCACATCATTGCAACGGATTTAGCAATGTGTGACCTACCTGCGTCCGTACTGATCTCTGAGCAATGCACATCACTTTTATCGTTTGCGTGTGCCACACAGCAAGTAAGTACAATAGGAGTCAAGGTTGACAGCAGATATGACAGAAGTGATGTGGTGTGCGACGTTGGGGCAACCCCGCCCCCCGCGAAAAACACGCATGATGAAGCTGTGGAAACCGAGATATTCGCAAAATATGGTCCAAACCAAAAAGCTCACAAACTGGCGAACAGCCCCCCTGCTTCCCAGCGCAATACCGCACTCAGCGCGAACGCTGAGGGAATCACCACCGCATACCCGGCATACTGCCAGCAAAGGACTGCAGGTAGGCTTCAAATAATGTTCATGCTGTGTCGGTGTCAGGTTTTGGGTGGGTCCGAAAACTCAGATTTGTCGCCCGAAACAGTCCGTCGTTGCATATCAACAGTCAAAGACATGGAGCACTTCATGACCTGGTGTGCCATACACTGCTGTTGTGTTCTGCTGTGTCCCGACACGACCTTGAGTTGTGGCCAGTTTCTCTGAAATGATTACCTTTCCACGACAGTGGTAGCGAGCACGGAGGGACTTCAACACACCCCTGTAGCCTCCGTTTGTCGCATGCGGACTGCTGTGCAAACAATCGCGCCCTCACATATTCCACCTTCTTCGCTCTAAACTCAAACGGCACCCTTCCGTCTCCACCGATGGAATGCCCACAGCTGCATGTAGGCGGCTTTTCAGCTACGGGTTTACAGCGGTACTGGTTCGTTTAGGTGCCATCGCGTCTGCAGTCGAAATGGAACACGGCGATGAGATGTGCGTTAGCCTCGTACTCATGATGCACCATGAAGAAGCTACAAGTACCTATTGCGGCCTCCATGGTTACACCTCGTACACCCCAGCCGAAACGATCCGGGCTTCCGTCTGCAGGATGAACGTAGATTCGTAGAACATCAATGCACCATTTCCAAGGAAATACAAGGAAGCGTATGTAGGCGACGGCGAATGATACCCGTGGCGTTGCTGGAGATACAATAGTTATAGTTCGCCGTTTGGTCGGACGCTAGGTTCGAAGTTAGCAGAGTACAGTAGAGACATCAGCCACGCCTAGCCCAACCTTTCGTTCTCTGGCTCCTGGTGCCTGCCGCACAACACAACAGCAGCACCCGTACGACGAGGAAGGCCGCAAACGCACGGATCGGGACGAGGACTACGTGCGTCGGAACCGCACACAGCATTGAGCTTGGAAGAGAGGGTGGACAACACTCAAGAGGGAGGGAAAGAGAAGCAGGACAGGGGGAGGCGGGAAAAGGTTCAGTAAGGACTAACAAGAATCGTTGTTGTACAAGAGCGACACAACCAGGAGGAACTGCTGTAGGCAGGCTGGAGCATGGAAGACGGAGGGCTCTTGCACGAGCGACGGATTCTATTTGATGTATTTGGCGTGTCAGAGGACGATGGGGCCTACGTGCTTATCGCCGGGCTGATAATGGGAGGCTTGACCTTCACGGCGTGCTGCTACTGCAAGGTGTACGACCCCTTGCGGAACTGGTCCATCAAGACGTACAACCGGTGTTGCAAGAAGCAGCCCAAGGCCGCGGCACCGCCACCACCAGAAGCCGCGATGGCGGAAGAGGTGAGTGCATGTGTATTCACCGCAGCTCCTCTCCGCCCCTGACGCTATCCCAGTTGGTTTTGGTGTTGCTGCTAACCTTGTCAAAACTTGAGTTCAATATCCCTGTGCATGCAGTACGTTCACCGCCGTATCGCGTGCTTGCCGTCGAGACGAAAAAAACATAGTTTCGTGGTCGCAGCCAAAAGTCACGAGCATCACGTAGGGAGGCTGAGCTGCTGTTCACACATGCACATGCGGCAGTAAGAAATGCTGAGCCATTAAATTATTTGCTGATGGCGACAAGAAAAGCCACGTATTTTCATGTCGTCGCCGAGAAGATGAACAAAATTCCAGATACGCCACAGCGGTGTCGATCACCTTGCCCACAGCTGTGTAAGGACACACAAAGGAACGCCGACCACCCGTCAGTTTCTATCTCAGCATAGAATTACACAACTGCTGTAGCATTGCGTTCATTGAGTTTCTCTCCCTCCGGTCCGCGGAGATGCAGTATGTTCGGGAACGATTCGGGCAAAGACTCAAGGAAACAGACAAAATGGGCGGGCGATAATACATCTAGAGATCTTCGAACTGCCTTCGCAGTCAAGTTTGGGGTGGAAGTAGAGAGTGGGCTTACTTATTTCGTCTTATCGTGTGCATGATGACTGTCTATACCCTTGTCCTCTAGACATCCACCCATGGCCTGTACGGCAGAGTAGCTGTTGAGCCACCGCCAAGGAAGACCCTCGTCGCCACGGAGTTCCCCACACTTTTCCCCTCTATCACACAATTGGGGCGGTAGATGCTTTTCGACTCTCTCTACAAGTGCTCTCCGCCCGTCTTGGTCTGTCCGTCATGCCTGAGTTTGTTTTGTTCCATTCGGTCAGCTTGCGGTCGTTTGATCGCGCGCTGTTTGCCTTCTCATTCCGTTGTCCTCTGTTCTGTACTTTTTTTATGATCTAATTGTAGTGACTCTTACTCTCCCCACCCACGTGCTTTTGCGCCCTCTGATTGGTCGAGCGTTGGTTCGGGCGGACGATTCCTCTACAGCACCCTCTCTCTCTATCGTATTCCAACAACGCGGCGCAGCCGCGTTCTCGCCGAGTTCGCGGCCGCTAGGTGGTGCGTCGGTCGTGGGTTAGGGTTAGAGTTGAGTTGGGATGGGTCGGGTCGGCCACGGTGTGTGACGCATCCCGTGTGCGGAACCTAGGTTCAACATCCGGCCAGACCCAAAAAGTCACTACCAGACCGTAGATAGACCTCCCTCTGTTTCGCTCCCCAACAGCACAGGAAACTAAATAGAACCTTTCCCACACACTATTTATACAATGACCCCCTTTCCCTTCCCGTGTGGCATGACCAATTGCGTTCGGGTAATTGTAAATATTTCCCATACATGGTGGCGATGACGCATACCATACCACACACGACGGGCGACGACAACCAACCGGAACCTCTCCGCCGCTCATGACGCTCGCAGCGCCGGCACTGGTATCTGAACCAGACGCTCCAGATCGATCGCGCAGACCGAGACGAGCTTGGACCGCAAGGCGCGAGGACGGGGTTGAAGGGGGGCTGGTACGGAGCACGAAATGGCGGCTTCGACGTGTAGTCTCATTTTTTTCACTTGCGCGTGTGCAGAAGATGAAAAATAATAGCGATCCATCCATAGAAAACAGGAGAGTGCACCCGGACGTCGTGCTTTTCGCCGTTCAGACTTGTTGCAGAGTTCGATCGTGTTTGGGAGTGATGAGGGGCGTCGGCGCCAGCGACAGCAACAAGATGTGTGCTGCGATGGATTTGTTTCGTTGTCGGGCGGTAGGGACTCGTTGGAATTTTTCGTCTAGCGCTCCCGACCCTTGTGATTCTGTGTTTGTAATATTTGCAATATCCATGGCGGCCGGCCGCGATCCGAATGATGCGCACCATCTCCCCACTTTGTAGGTGTAAGCTCACCTGTTAATTAGGGTCCCCGAACGGGGAGACGCGCATAGCGGTTATTTTGTCTTGCCGTTAGCTGCCGTCTATTCTTATTTTACTCTCATGTGTTTTTGTTTTTCTCTAATCACCTGCGTTACGCCCTTTGTCGGGCACCGGGCGTGGATAGTTTGTCCGTACGTGAGCCCCTCCACGGCGAGAATTTTTTTGGTATTTGTTGTGTTTGTTGTAAGGATTAAAACGGCGTCTAGTCATTGTTTTCTTCTTGTTTGTCGCTCCCTTTTTCGCGTTTGCATGACAGCGATAGAACCTGAGAATTGGTGTGAGACGCTTGTGATCTGGGTGGAGGGCGAGTTTTGACATGTGTTTCTGGGTAAAAAAATGTTGAAGCCGAGGACAAAGTAAAACACCCACCTAGTTGTACCGCTCTTTCGTGCAGGCAAGACCCTGAGACAAACCGAAAAGGCAAGACAAGCCAAGACACTGCGCGCAGCGCAGGCACCTGTCTTCGGGATTGCCTCATATTTTTCGTCACGCGACCACTGTACCCGGTCTTTTGGTTTGTAGTTTGAGCTAGGAAGTCGCAGGAGGCTCAGTCGCTTCCAGCCAACAAACCACAACTTCTGCGACATGCCCGCGGGGGATGGTGCGCTGGAACTCCACCAAATCTTTCCATACTCAACCTTACTCAAGAAGGTCCTAGGGATCGATCACCGCACGAGCTACCGTTGACTCCGCAAGGGAAGAAGGGCGGTGATATGTACAACCCGCTTGTTTCAGGTCTCAGAAAGTGTATTTTTGTTTGATTGGCAAAGAAGAAGTTTTGCCCCGCAACCCACAAAAGCTTGACACCCCGAACGTAGCACACGAGCGCCCACAAACAAAACACTGGCACCGTACAACTTGGGCTAGGCTTCGATAGAGCCTGAAAATTGTCAGGCTAAACAACTTTTTTCTATGAGTGGTCAGTCGTCGTCGCAAAGATATATCACCAGTCCGAAGGGGTGGGCCGGCTCGAAAAACAAGACGCGTTCGATCAGTGAAGAGTTGCCCACCTGATTATAGACTTACATCTTTCTAAATTTGATAATATACCAAGTCCTCCCAAGTAATTACAGAGAGACGGCTGCTTTCATCACAACACCAGGAAAATATGAAAATCTCACACAAAGGACAATACACAAACGAACGTGTAATGTACTCCCACGGGGTGGTAACCGCTGGTGGTACAGACTGCCTAAATATGAATAAAACGACAACCGCTTGCGCGTTTATATCCAAGGCTCACACCTTGGACTTACGAACAATAGCTATCCCGAGCAAGGAATGCCACCATGAACGAACATGTCTGCTAAATATTTACATACAAAAGAAGTTTTCTTACCAAAATACACGGATCGACAAAACACTAGCACGTCCCCTCTCTCTACGGAGGAGGAGGGTGATCCTTGCTACCACAAACCCGTGTCGGAATGAGCCTCAACTCAAGGCCGAGTAAATCATCCGCCAAACAAAGCCGGAGGCAACAAATTTCTTGCCCAAAAGGTCGCCTAGAGTCACGCGAAAAGGATCACGACCCTCACGTTAAAAGTAGCCAGCAACCAGGACAGAGGTGCAATTATTGTTGTCATCTTGGTGGGCGGCGACAGGACGGAGTCGGGCCACGGGCTCTTGGCTTCGTCGGTGCCATCTTTTGCGGCACCTTCTTCAACGCCCTGCGATGCGGCGATGCCTGCGAACCCCGTTGCTCCCCATGGTTCTCTCGGCGCTGCTTTGTTGACGAGAGCATTCGGATTCGAAAAAAACATGAACGTGTGCAAGTAAGTATGATTCTTCTCCGTGAGCAGTAGTACCGGGTGTGGACCGGTGGTATATCGGTGGGTAACGACTTGAGTGAGGGTGGCAATGGCTGTTTTCTTCCTACAGAAACAACCAGGGGACGGGGGGTGGGTGGGTGGTACCGGGACGCACAGCTTTCGTTTCTTCTGCTGGTTTCCTCGCATGCCTCGGCGTCCATGGGTTGTTGAATGGCCACACGACATCAAGTCTTCTGCGTTTTGTCGGATGATAAAACGAGGCCGCGGAAACCTTCGACTTGGTCTCACCGTCCAGATGTCCGCCACTTCCTTTCGAACCACTGCGCGCAGATGCTGCCCCCTGCTGGCAGGGAGAGGTCTCAGTTGCCTCCTAGTCTGTCCAACCTTCAAGGCGTGGGCCAACACGCGGGCCTCCTACGATTTGTCATCAACACGACGAAAAACAACAAGAGGCTCCTTCTCAGTGAACATTTTTTGGCTGGGAAAACGAATAGGCGACTCAAGCCAAGGCCTACGAGAGTCCATTTACAACGTCACACTCGCTAACACGAAAGAGAACCTCGATGTGCAAGTAAAGCATTGTGCAGAGTAAACGCGAACACGTACGTGCGACCTCACCTGTCATTGTTCTCTACTTGCACTTGGAGGTAGACTAACGGCCAACATCTGATTATCAACCACAGCAGCAACATGCCTTTCCCATTTTAGCTTCCTCCTCGCGAAAGCCACATGGAGAACATGCTGCTTCCTGTACACGGGATAAGAATTACAGTAAGTACGTACCCAGCGGGGGCAAAAGCTGAGCCACCCACAGTTATTGCTGCCTCGTTCCTTCCAGCACGCTTCCAAGGGAGGGCATCACCAACCGCCCTAAACAACACCACCCTCACCCTCTTGCGCAGCAGCTCATGTTTCCTCGCCTGGTCATCGCTGCCGTTCAAGCTTTTGGAGGCGTATTTGCTGCAACCCCCCTCCTGGGACAACTGCTCCTTGTGTCCCCCGCCCCCCTTCCCCTTGTCGTTGCCGCCGCCGCTGTCCCCGCCTTTGAGCGCAAAGGTGCTCATCATCAAGGATCGCACCAGGCAATCGAACTGGTCTTCCAGGCCGCCCACCGCGCTCCCCGGTGGCTGTTGCTTCATGCTCTCGAACTCCCGGTTGAGCACGTGCCTCCGGTAGACCACGAGGTTCTGGCACAAGGTCACACCCAGCGAGTAGAACGCCTGGGGTATAATGTGAACAATATGCGCACGAGACGGACGACCGGTCGGTGCCGTGAAAGTCAAAGTGGAATGAGCTTTGTTGGAATAAGCCAGCTTCACTTGGAATGCAGTCTATGGGGTGGACTATATAGCTGCTGGCACAAAAATCGAGACGATCTGGATTGTGTGCGTCCTCGAACACGTTTGGCGGAAGTGCACGTGACTCCTCAACCGGTATGTCATGGACGAAGGACGCTCTGGCCCAAATACCTAAAGCTCGAACTTGAAACAATCATGGACTGAACGGATCTGGTCGACTCGTTTGGTGCACGTATGGCAGCGTGGGACTTCGAACATGGACAACATGGACAACACTAACCATGCGCCCTGCCTGAAGCAACACGAGTGGTATAGCGAGCAGGTTTGACAGCCCGGAAACCGAACATCACGTCTCCTTGGTTGTGCTCTCAAAGTCGATCGATACGCCAACAACTCACAGCTAACTGCTGTGGCTCGAGAAACCACCACCCCCCCGTAACAACATGGTAATAATTTCCCTTGCTTGCGAATGACCGGAATCTGCAACAGTTTTGGATATTTCTTATTTTGCAGTTTTGGGGACGCAATATGCAAGTGGTCGTCCCGAAAACATTTTTGTCACGGGTGGTTTTCTGTAGTGGGCTTTGGGGGGCGCAGCATCTCCAAAGGTGCTCCCTCTTCGCCTTGGCATCGGCACCAGGGTCCATGCTCATGAAGACATCTCCGGCGTACTCCCGTGGGGGTTGTAGTAGGTGTAGTAGCAGTCCGGCCGGGGGGGGAGCTCCGGCACTCTTGTGTGTGCTGCAAGTGCATACCTGTTGGTGTTGATAGTTGCGGAAGGCGATCTCCCCGTGCCCCAGCGCCTCACGAAACTCGTCGATGGTCACCTCGCCTACGTAAATAACGTTCGAATCGTTCTTTCAGGGCTGTTCGGTGTTTGGCAGGGATGATCCTTTGTCCGCGAAAAAAAACAACTCGGTCTTACGCGCTTGAGGCTAAGGATGGACTGACCCCCCTCTCGCGTGAAAGAGCGACAGCTTCTACAGAGGTACATGTTTTGTGCGTCCGCGAGTAGTTGGAGCTGTTCAATTGAGAGAGGCGAGACAGCCGGGTTGGTAGGAACTGCGGATCGGCGGCGCTACTTGTAACGAGAACCTACATCTGATGCAAGATCGGCAAGCGACACGTACGAATCGCGAGGGTTCCGCAAGGTATGAAGCGCAATACGTTTGGTACCATCATTGCTCCAGAACCGCCCGCTCCATGCCGGAAATCGTGGGAAATATGCATATCTCTATCTTGAAACCTCCCTTCTGCTTAGGCTGAGCAGGGTCGAGGTGAAGCGAACGGGAACAAGACGTAGGCTGGGCCATGTTTGATCGACAAGAACAAGTCTCCTCACCTGAGCCGTCGCTGTCCATGAACTCGAAGTGTGCCTCGAGCTGCGCCCTCGTCTCGTCCGTGAGCTTTCCCGTCGCCTTGAATGCCTTGGCCATCTCTTCCAGCTCGATTTCTCCGGAGCCATCGGTGTCGAACATGTTGAACACGTCGATCACAATCTGCTTCCTGGGACTTGGGGGACTGGTGTTGGTCCTGAAAAGCATGTTCGAACGCGTGTGTGTTTTATTACATAGCATCGATCGCGCGCTAACCGGCTGACTGATGAAAATACGTCAGTCTTTTTACACCTGGAATTAAAACAAAAACACGTCTTGTGGAAACCAGGATATAGGTATCTCAGTAGTAGGGACGCACATACAACCGTAGAGATCCGCGACCCTAGCAACGACGTTCTCGAGGTCTGAAGATCTTTACAACGAAAAGACCCTCCGTCTGCTGTGATCAGCCGGAGGATGGAAGCGGGTCCCTGAGGCTCACTCTGTCACCTTTCGACCTAGCAAGGCCGACTAACGTCAGCCACGCTTGGCCATTCCTTGCCACATTGCAATAAGAGCGAAACTACCTCCGTTGGTGAACGGTTATTCACCACTTCAGGGACCTTCACTCATAACGGAGTAAGGGTATTCTCATTTTTCTAGAAGTCATCGGACTTCCCCGTCGGCGGGGCCGCGGAAGGGGTTGGTTGACAGGGCCCAGCCTTAGCCTTCGGATTCGAAGCACAAGGAGAAGGCTCAATAACACCACCACCACGTAGCAGCGTTCCTGCTCCGATATCTTCCACGTGAACTCATCAACTGTAGTGTGGTACGCCACGACATAAACACTACTTTGTATATTAGGAAAAATAAACACACACACAGAAAGACTACCCGTTCGAGATATACCCACATTCGAACGGGGTGTGGTGGAGTCTTTTCAGTTCTGTAATTTATCCTGGACTCATATCGTCTGTGGGATAGAGATGGATTCTCGTTGCGCGTGGTTGAAAGAAAAGAACAGGAAACGGTGTTGATGGGCGACCTCGCGCCCACCTCGTCAAGCAACTCCTCTGTTCTTGTTCCTTGTCCTAAAAGAACAAAGGATAGAGAATGCACTGCTGTGTGCTGAGTTGCATGGTGTTAGCGTAGGCATGGCGGGCTGTCGCTCTCCCGCGTTGTAACGTACCATTGGGCCCGATTCTTTCTGTACTGATACTGCTGTATGCATACGCACATATATTCGGCTGTTACCGCCGATAGATTTAAGGAATAATAAAAACACACACAGAAAGACTACCCATTCGAGATATACCCACAGTCGAACGGGATGTGGTGGAGTCTTTTCAGTGAGTGAAGGGAAACCGGCTGGGTACTGGACTTATTTCGAGTCTTTTAAATCTATACACTGATGATTTATACACTGATGATGCAAACGGCCCGCCCATCCATGATGATACTAAATTTGGCAGAGAGAGGACCGTAAGTGCGCCGTGGGGCTGCAGGAACCCATCAGACCAACCCCCACATGAAATCAATGCCACAGACCCACGTGTGAATAGCAGTTAGTAGGAGACGTACCTCGTCAACTGCGGGAGCGGCGGCATTTGACCGGAGCGGGTCCGGTTGGCCATTGTTCGCAGCAGCCAGTTTTGCGTGCGCTGCCCCTGCTTTTCCCCCGCCCGACTGAACGATCGAAGAACAAAGCTATACGCTTACTGCAAGCATGATACATTCAACCACCCTTACGTTGTATACACGTGAGGGAGCTCTTGGTTCGTCGTACTCTCGGGAGACTGTTGTCTCCCGCCCTCTCACAACTCACACAACGAGGATTCAAAAATGCGGCGCAACCTCGACTACCGCACAAATTTCATTGGTCAATCTCCGGACGATCGACACCAATCGACACACACACGTCGAACATTCCACACAACACACAACGACGTATCTCTGGTTCTCGGTCCTGTACGAGGGTGACCTTGTTTTGACCGCGAGAATACGGGTATGGAAGCTGCTACTACTGAAGAAGAGCGCTGGATAGTCGAGAGTTTAGAAGCCAGAACCGATTAAACCGCTCGCCAGATTGCGAGACGCCCGCCGCAATTTTAGACGTCTCGATTCCCCCGATTCCCCACCAACCAACCAGAAAAATCCTGACAAGGCAGGCACATCACGGCCGAGTATCTAACGTGGTTGTCATCCCCCAGCCGGTTCGCCCAGTCAAAGCAGACTCCAGACCACAAGATGGTAGTAGCCACCGTCAACCTCGGTGGCAGGCTTGCCCACAACCGTGCAGTCCGGACTAAACCGAAACAGCAACAATTCAACCGACGGGAATTGCAGTTCGAAGCAGCACGGTGTGCGGTGACTACAGTAATCGGTTCCTCCTCAACCTCGACACACGACTGGACGAGCGAACAACCACCGCCGCCGAATTGGCGACCGACTTTACCAATGCTCTCCTCGAAGCAGCACAGACGACCCTAGGGGAGGAACCGCGGAGACGCCGCACGCAGGAGTGGTGTGAGACCCCAGAGACGAGAGCAGCACTTTCGAGAAGGCCCTTACCAAACGGCGGGAAGCGTGCCGGGCGATGAGGGGCAACTGGAACTCAGCAACGTGGAGAACTCTCAAAGCAGTGTGTAAGGGAGTGGCTACAGCAGTCGAAACGGGCATTTATGCCCACCTGGACGGATATGTGACTGAACTCGAAGCAATCTACAAAGATCGCGACATGAGAGGACTGTACCAACACGTCAAGAGATCAGTGGGCCTCAGCGGGAGACAAGCGGGGGGACAGCAGTTCGTCGCGGATGAGAACGGCGTGTTGTTGCTCCGGAACAGGGACGACATCCTCCAACGGTGGGCGAGATTCTTCAGTACCCTACTCAACACCAAATCCCCCACCCTGAACCCAGACATCATCGAACGAGTGACGCAGCGGCCAGCGACACGTGACACTCAACGGTTGGGAGAGGTGCCAGAACTCGAGGAGGTGGCACGGGCAGCGAAAGGCCTCAAGAACTGGAAGGCACCCGGCCATGACTCCCTCCCTGCCGAGTTGCTCAAGATCGATTACGACGAACCCTTTGTCCTGGGACACCTCCATACCATCCTCGTCAAGGTGTGGAACGGAGGAGATATCCCGCGAGAGTGGAAGGATGCAACCATCAAGGTGCTGTACAAGAAGGGTGACCGGCCCAACTGTAACAACTGCAGGGGGATTTCGCCCCATCAAGATCATCACCAACCGTCTAAGCGCCTTCTGCGAAGCCAACAACATCCTCCCGGAGGAACAGTGCGGATTTCGACCCGGGCGATCCACCGTCGACATGCTGTTCGTCGTGCGCCGCCTCCAGGAGCTGGGGCGGAGAAAGAAAATACCGCTCTACATGTGCTTCGTCGACTTGAAGAAGGCGTATGATTCGGTGGACCGAGAGATGCTATGGAAGGTGCTGGCCAGGGCCGGGATTCCCGCGAAGCTAATCAAAGTCATCCGCCAATTCCACGATGGAATGCGGGCCCGGGTGCGCATGGACGACGGAGAACTATCGGACTGGTTCTTAGTCACACAGGGCGTGCGACAAGGATGTGTGCTATCCCCACTGCTGTTCAACATCTTCTTCGCCGAGGTCCTCGAGGTCGTCGTTATCCGATTCAGCGAGGATGATGTGGTTCTGCGGAACCTGGTGTGCTTGGAGGAGGGGAAGACGGAAGCGGGGGGGGGGGAGGAGACACCCCTTGACCGAGTACGGAGGGCAAGTATGGGGGATGCTGTATGCCGATGATGCCGGCGTCGTATCGAGGTCTGCAGAAGGACTGGCGAGAATGATGACCATCATCGTTGAGGTGTTCGGAGAGTTCGGGCTAACGGTGTCGGAGAAGAAGACTGACGGAGACGCTCCTGATGCGCGCGAAGGACAAGTCGCCTCCACCGCTGACCATCGAAGCCGCGGGACAGAAATACGCCCAGACGACCGAGTTCCGGTACCTCGGTGGCCTCGTCAACGAACATGGCGACCTCACCCGGGAGATCAGCTACAGGAGCAGAGGAGCGTGGGCGTGCCTCAGGCGATATGGCCAGGAGCTCATCGACAGACCGAAATCGCCATTCCGACTCAAGATCCGCTTCCTCCAGGCGGAGGCGATGGAGGCACTGCTGTACGGCTGCATGACATGGTCACCACTCAGCGGCCACTATCAGACGCTGCGGTCGACACACCACCGACTGCTCCTTCGAGTTATCGGGTACAAGCAAGCGCAAGAAAGACACCTACCGGCAGCTCTCTTACGCCCAGACGCTGAAGAGGGTCGAATGCCAGAGCGTTGAAGCCACGATCCGACAACGACGTCTACTGTTCGCGGGAGCACTGGCAAGGCAGCCGGACGGGCGACTCCCGAAACGACTGATGCTTGGCGAGCTGGCGGGGGGGGAGAAGCCACGTAGGGGGGGACAGGAACAGAACTGGCCGAAGTGCGTGCTCGACGACCTGAAGGCATTCGGGGCCGACCACGGATCTACGAAAACCGATCCATGTTGTCTTGGAATCCCCGTACCGAAAGACACGGTACCGAAGTTAAAGTGGACGGAAGCCGCGAAGGTGGAGGGGGGAGTACCCTGGCATGCGGCGGTGCTGAAGGGAGCTGAGAGGTTCATGACCTGGCACGAGAAGGAAGAAGAGGCCAGCCGACAACGAGCGCTCAAACGAAACCACAAGCCAACAACCAATGGGGCGGGAGGGGGGCAGGAGACGGACGAGACGGCGAGGGAAGAAAGCAAACGAGAAGAGACGGACCGAGTGGCACGATACGTGCCGGATTGAATTTCTTTTAGCCAATTCCCCACCCCCAACGCTGCACCATTGCACCAACCCCCCAGTAGTGAAGACGTACCATTACAATGTATCGCTGGTTGGTGGCCATGTTTGCGTGTTTGCTTGTTCGTTAGTGGTCTCTCCACCATGTGCCTGTTTCTGCCTCTTATTTCTTGTTATTTTCGGCCTGGTCCCTTTTTGTCCTCGCTCTTTTTCAGTTTATTTTCATTTTATTTTATTTTCTTCTTACTGTTTCCATTTTTTCTTGTCTCTTTCTTCCCTTTTTCTCTCTTTTTCTGTGCCAGATGGCCTTGTCTCTGCTTGCGTTGTGAAGTACCAAGATTGAACCAAGGGGGTGTACCTCTTTCTCTCCGGCCCATGATAGTGACTCCTAGTCTCAGTTGATACTTCGCATAGCGCGCAGAGGGAGTGGAGGATTCCAGAATATCTGTCGTTGATTTATGTTGACTTGCGGACCCCTCGGGGCCAGTTTATTTGAGTGTACCTTTTTAGGGTAAGTTAACTGTGACCACGGGAATCGACCGCGTCGAGTGTTGGATCAGTACGGACATACGAAGGTACTGGGTAGAGAGAGATCGGAACGGTTTTTAATGTGAAGACAACAACAACAACAACAACAACAACAACAACAACCAGAAAAACAGACATTATTTTACCGAGACAATAGTGAAGCGAATCGTTACCGAATGTAATTACTTTCAAAATTCGACGGTGTCCCTCGAGTCCTTGTGGAAGCTGTGATTGTTGCGACAAACAAAAACTGCTGGTTGGGGTGTGAATCCGTCCTCTGCATTACTGCTGTACACAGTACAACATCCTCCTCGCACCGCGATGTGCCTATTACACAGCAGCTGCGCGCTTCGTGTCTCCTTCGGCAAACTTGTGACATATATATATTTATACTAGTACATGGCAGCATGCAGTAAGGAATGTGTGCGTGCATCGTATTGATACAAGCTATAGACTACCTTTGGGGGGGGGGTTACATTCTTCGATGTTGATGCATCGAACGACACTGTGGCAACACAAAGAGAGGACGATGGTTGTGATAGTTGACTTGCTGACTTTGATAGATCGTGGAATACCGCGGATCAAGAGTTCCAGTCCCAGCTCCGCTCGTCTTTTTTACACTGTTGACCTTTATTTTCACTTTAGTCTGTCTGCTCTTCTCCCGCCACTCTCGACTTCTTGTCCGTTCTCGAATAAAACGATCACCTATCTATCTGAATGAATTGAAGTAAATCTTTAAACTACTATACCTTTTGGTTGGGAATTAATGTATAATGCCTTCTTGGGTAGTATATTTTAATTGGTTGGTGGGTGTTTTGAGTTTTGGTTTCGGGGACGCAAGAAGTCTACACTGCTACTTTCATCATGCATCTTCGTTTGAGCGTGTGGTAGGACGAGGAAGGCTGCTGGAAATATTCCGAGCGGGATCCCGGGACATCCGGGATGGATTTGTCCGGGCGGGAATGGGACGACCGTTCAATATCAACCTGGGATCTCGTTATCCCCGAGTCTCTCGCAAGTTCCATCATCATATCGTATCATCGTATGCGAGTAACAATGAGGGCTTGGAGAGAGAGGTGGTGAGCAGAGGACGTCCGGGCGATGAACCCTGAGTATCCAGAGCGATTCCGGATCGGGGCGCTCCGAGAAAACGCGATGGAAGGATAGATGAATGCGGGATCGGGCGTAAACATGAGAGCAAACGAGACCCTCTTCGTGTACTTCATCCAGCATGAAGCAAGCACCGGGTGAATCACCGCACCCGCGGAAGCGATACCGTTTCGTTCCAAAACGCGTAACGTGTTCTGGTTTAGTATGCGAACACTGTCGAGAGTAGTGGGATCCTCCCATCTCCCTCGCACACAGCGCTCGAAGACAGGAGGACGCACCCAATAATCTTCTCTGGCTGCAACCTCGCAAATGACAACACCCAAACCTCCAAACAAACACGTGTGTGTGTTCCGTTCCATCCACGGCATAAACTGCCGGCAAGACTTTACAGACCCGCCCCCCGCAGCATCGCATGTTTACCACTGCTGCTGCTGCGGGTTGCGGCAAAACACAGAAGAACTCTATCTCCGTCCCACTCCCTCTTTTCGCCCCGCCGCGCACAGAGCTCTTCTATCGTATGCATACCAGTGCGTTAACACGACAGACTATCTTCCGCTGACGAGTGGCTTCGGCCCCCACCAACAGACGGTGGTATGAAGTCACAAGACATGCCAACCGAATCGCTGAACGTTTTCATTCTGTGTTTCGTCCCGACTCAATCACGTTGTATCCATAATAGCAATGCCAGAATCCCAACCCGCCATGCATCCCAACCCACCATGCGCATTCACCGCTGGTCGGTATCTTAAAGTTCATCTAGCTCAAGAGGAAATACTTTATAGGAGAGCAGTCTACCTACTCCCAGTATTTTCATCCCGAACGAGACAAGAAGGAAAACAACGCAAAACACTAGTGCTAGTCACCGGGGGTGGGGTCGGTTGAGGCACAACGGGGGCGCGCAGGCGGGGGGATACAACGCGTCACACTACAGTAGTAGCTGGAAATTGCAAATATTCCCGTAAAATGCTCCTGTCGTAGAGCAGCCTGCGCTGCCAACTTCGTGCCACTCGAATTCATCGTTGCGCGGCCGTGAAGCAGCAGTGCTCGACGGCGGCGCCCAATCACGTTCCGTCGCATTTACTTCCTTGCCCTCTTCTTCTTCCTCTTCTTCTTTGACCCCTGTTCGCAACAGCGGGGTGTATGTACGCGAACGCCAAACACGCCAAACAAACAAACGTACGAGTCACATAATGGCACTGTCAGTGAGAGCACGGGAACGGGAGGGGGCTGGGGCGGGCTGGGGCGGGCCGAGGAGGTTCTGTTCAAACCTGTCGTCCGTCACTACCACGCCCATCAGAGCGCACACAAGCAGCCCTCATCGTATCCCCGTCCCTCCCATATTCATCCTTCCACCCACACCAACGCGTGCGGGGGATCGCATCGCTCCTCGGTTGAAATTATTCTACCTGGTGCTTGTTGCTAATAGGGGATGGGGCCATGTTGACGAGGTGGCCAAGTACAAGCACATGCCGAAAATATCGCACCGGATGCAGCATGAACAAACACAAGGAGTTTCTACCACCACCGGTAGGTTTAACATGAGCATGAAATGAACAGGACGCACTCGATATTTCTAACTTGGACGCAGACATGATACGAGGCGAAGATAGAGAGAGAGATTGAAGAGGAGAGCTCGGAAGAAGAAGAGAGAAAAGACACCAGGAACAATTTTCGAAAACGTTTCCCTTGCCGCTCAAGCCCCTCAAACATACTCCAAACTACCACACCGTTCGCCTTCGACGCCGTGTGATGATGACTCCCAAAGGCTAATGCAGCACGTTCGGGCTCAAACAAGTATGACGCTGCTACGAGTGTGGCCGACCCGCACGCTAACGAACACCCATTCACATGCAAGCACGCGCCACCGATTGGCCGAGCTCCCGGAGGAAACCCGACAAAAACAACAAAAATCAACACACACACACGCAACAGCACCAAACCAGCACCGTTCTCCAGACGCTGCCGCGTGCTTCGAGGGAAAGCAGCACGACAATTAGACCTCGATCAGATTGGTTCACATACTCTTGCGAGCCACGCCGGCTGCCTCCACGCACCTTGGGGGGTTTCGCAGATGCCGCGGATACGGGGGGCGCCGGCGCCCCGTCTTCCTTTACGATCTCCCCTTCCACTTCCGCGTCCAGTGTCGCTGGAGTAGGCACGAATCCCTTCGTCTCCTCCACCACAGCGCTGGTTTGGAGCAAAACGTTTTGGTTTGTGGATATTTTTAGTTTGCATGGGACAGGATGGCGCACAACAGCAGTAGGGGCACCGACAGCAGTGGACGTGCGGTCCGTCGGAGCGGAAAAGGCACATGGAACTACAGCGCCGCAAACGAGGGCAGCACCGAGTCGAACAGGCGCCACAGCAACGAAAAATGGACGCAAGAAAGGGTTCACGTCATCCAGTACCGCGTCGATACGACTTGTGATCCACCCGTCGGCTGGTCGCCTTTCGCGGGGGAGGAGGGGGGGGGGGGGGCACAGATCACACGTATCGCAATCAACACCTGGATTATAAAAAAATACACGAAACAGGCGACCTTTCCACCACCAACCGCAACCACACACACAACCCAACCAACAAGCCAACGATGCGTGGCCTACGATGCCAGTGATTCATGTCCCGCTTGCGGAACGAAGAGGGTTTTCATTTCTGAACGTGGGCCGGTGCTGACGAAACCTGACAGCTATATCAAACGGCCGTGCCCCTTGCTAGTTTGCACTCAAAAACACAGTAACCACGCATGGAAATGCACCCCCTCGCCCGCAGTTTCCCAACCCTCTCTTCGCCACAAAAGAAACGGCGAGGGCTCAAGCGTTTGGTTCGGCCACGTCCCATTTGCTTTGCCCACTCCCACTAGTGGTACACGAGTAAATGATAACTCCTCCGTCCATACCTGTCAGGGAGAGCCTCTCGCGGTATCGGCATCGTCACCACCTCCGGCTCCTCCTCCATGAATGGCAGGGTTATCTTGGGCGCCTTCATGTTGGGGTCGCCCGTCTCGTCGGCAATCTGTATCACGTGGATGTGGGTGTTTTATCGTTAGCATCGACGCGCTAAGCGGCTGACCAATGAACAGACGTCATTCTCAGTGCGGTTGGAAACACAAAACACACCTCTAAACACCATGATCTGGGAACCCGTGAGTGCGTGCGCATTTTTTTGTTGGTTTCAGTCATCCGTTTGTTTGGTCGGTCGCGCGACGCAAGACAACACCAACAATCCAAAGGGGGAAACCGTAAAAGACCAACGACATCATATACCATGGGGCAGGTCGCAGCTCGCGCAAGACTTAGGCCGGGGGCCGCGTGGAGACGGAGACGGGGGGAGGGAGGGAAGCCCCAATGAAGAAGGCGCACCGCCGCCAATCCAAGTGCCTTAAGTCACCCGAAAACAAAAACGCAGTCTCGAACATAAGTTTCCCAGAACGTTCCCATCGACCCCAGCTGCGTGTTTCAAGCTTCTTCCCCAAACATGTAAAGGGGCCCGGTTGCAGACGGTAACAAGCTCCAAAGGGGCGTGCTTGAAGGTCACCAGCAGTGACACCCGGACGTGAAAATAAAATAAAAAATTGAAACTAGATGGAAACGAGAACTCCCTCTCCTCATGTTCTTACCTGGTTACGGATAAACACCGACGTTGCCGTGGAGATGAAGTTGTTGAGGATCCAGTAAAGCCCGAGAGCCGAAGGGACGCTGAGCGAAAACCATCCAATCATCAGCGGCAAAAACTTGACGATCTGCTTGTGACACAAAAAGTAGTGATCGGGCCGGACGGAGAAAACGGGGAAATGTACCCTTGAGAAAACGAGACAGCTCTTGGAACAACAACACAACACGCGTCGACAGCGGAAGTCAGCCGGAGTGAACGAACGGCAAGAGGACAGGGTCAACAGACCATAACAAAGGCCGATACCATCAAAACTTGTGAACTACGTTCTTTTTTCGTCTCCGGGTTGCGAGCTGAAACATGTGCCAGACGCGCCCCACAACCGCAAAACAGCAGCAAATGGCAACAATGCGGGCAAAAACTTCGCTCCGTACTGCTCGTGAAAACGTGCCCTTTCACATGATGGCTAATGGACCAGCAGACCAATCCACTGAGAGGTAGGTTTGCTGCCTTCTCACGAAATGTCGGAATGCTTTCACCCCCTCCCCCCCTCCCCCGCCTCCTAAAGGCTCTTGTGGGATTCTGCGTAGCCCCCACGCCTCCGCCTCATTCAATCAAGATGTTCCGATCGTGGCGCAGCAAGGTGTTCTGTGCCCTACTCGACTCCTCCCCGCCCGAAGCAACCCCCCGCCCCACGCACCCCTACAACTAACAGCGAAGACCCCGTCGCCTTAACCCTCTCCCGCGGGTGTGAAAAGACAGAAGACTTGCATTCTGCGACGCTGCCTGCGACTCGTCGACCGGCTGGGAGGGGTCCTTGGCCGGCTGCATGATCCGCGTGGAGATGGACTGCGTGATGACCAGGATGATGGGGATGGTCATGTAGGCGATGGTGTCGTGCCAGCCGAGCTTCGGCGCCCCGTCTGGCCTCGGCGGACGGAGAGA